TTATTTCATAACAGGATACAACAGCTTACAAGTCACCTTGCTGAGCAAGCTTCCCAGAGACAGCTACTAACATTACGAACAGCTCCAGTTTTTCCACACCCAATTTATTCATTCAACAAGCCTCCTGTAATGAACTCCTGGCCACTCAGCAATGGCCTGAATGCACTTGCTTTTCTGTGGACCAGTTCCCCAGATATGACTTTTACAGTTCAAATAAGGGTTAGCTCTCCTTCAGTTTATGCCAATGGTCAGTGTTTCTACTGTAACCTTTAAAAGTTCTGCAGCTTTGCCAGGCGCGGTGGCTCACACCTATAATCCTAGCACTTTGGGAGGCTGATGCAGGCGGATCACCTGAGGTCAGGAGCTCAAGACCAGCCTGACCAATAAGGTGAAACTGTCTTTAAAAAAAAAAAAAAAAAAAAAGAGTTCTGCAGCTTTATCAGCAGCATGAAAAAAAAAATAGAATTAAAAAAAAAGAGTTCTTCCGGAAGTTTCTGACAAAAAGTCACTGGCAAGTGTCTGAGGAAATTTACAGGAGACAGAGATTCTCCTTCTCAAAGGAAATAGTAGTCACGGAGAAATTATAAGACCTCCTTCTAAATAAAATATTAACGAATTTTTAAGGGAAATCCCCTTTGGAATATTGCAAGATCATATAACATTAAAAGCATGTGGAAATGAGGACACAGAATTGTTCAGAGAAGTAACTAAAACAGAAACTTGAGAATTGCCTATCTCTACATTTGGATATCTAGAAAAGCTTTTGAAAAGTAATCTAAGGTCAGGTATGGTGGCTCACCCCTGTAATCCCAGCTCTTTTGGAGGCTGAGGCGGGGATCACTTGAGGTCAGGAGTTCCAGACCAGCCTGACCAACATGGCGAAACCCTGTCTCTACTAAGAATACAAAATTTATCTGGGCATGGTGCCAGGCACCTGTAATCCCAGCTACTAGGGAAGCTGAGACGGGAGAGTCAATTGAACCTGAGAGGCAGAGGTTGCAGTGAGCCAAGATGGCACCACTGCACTCCAGATTGGTGACAGAGTGAGACTCCGTTTTGAAGGAAAAAAAAAAAGAAAAAAGGAATTTGCAAGGAAATTGTTCCAGTTTGGGGTAAATTGGGGTATTTTTGTAAAATGTTATTTAATGCCTATTTATTAAACTTTTTTTTTTTTTTGAGACAAAGTGTCACAAAGTCTCCCGGGCTGGAGGGCTGGAGTGCAATGGTGCGATCTTGGCTCACTGCTACCTCCACCTCCCAGGTTCATGCGATTCTCCTGCCTCAGCCTCCTGAGTAGCTGGGACTGCAGGTACATACCACCACACACAGATAGTTTTTTGTATTTTTAGTAGAGATGGGGTTTCACCATGTTGATCAGACTGGTCTCGAACTCCAGACCTCATGATCCAGCTGCCTTGAACTCCCAAAGTGCTGGGATTACAGGCATGAGCCACCACGCCTGGCTATTTATTAAACTATTTACGTGCATACATTTTTTTATACACATACATTTTTTATACACGTACATTTTTCTTTTTGAGATGGAGTCTTTTGCTCTGTTGCACACGCTGGAGTGCAGTGGCACAATCTCAGCTCACTGCAACCTCTGCCTCCTGGGTTCAAGCAATTCTCCTGCCTCAGCCTCTCAAGTAGCTGAGATTATAGGCATGCGCCACCATGGCCAGCTAATTTTTGTATTTTTAGTAGAGATGGGTTTTCACCATGTTAGCCAGGCTGGTCTTGAATTCCTGACCTCAGGTGATCCACCCACCTTGGCCCCAAACTGCTGGGAATACAGGCATGAGCCACCACAGCTGGCCTGGTTTACTGACTATAAATAGCTTAAATAGGGGGTTATCCAGATTCCAGAAAATAAAACAGATTTTTGGATAAATTAGGTAACTTTTGGTTCTTTTTGCACCATGAATCTAAAAACTTTGTTAGTTTACTTATCACTAATAGACCTGTCAAACTGTTGCTATAGAGCTTTCTACCATTGAGATATACAACCAAAGAAAAAGGATACTCAGTGTAATAAAGAGTTATGGAATGAGATACAGCGGATGTATGACCCACCCTTTTGGGACTGCAGTGCCAAACTAGGAAATCACCTGTGTCTAACCAATCAGAACATCCTGTTTTTTATTTTTTAATAGACATACCCTTGTATCTCGTCATTATGTTAATGGCTGGTAGCCATAAAACCTTTTTTTTTTTTTTTTTTTTTTTGCTTACTCTTTCAGATTTGTACAGAAAACCCAGCTCTGAGTGAATATCTTGATCTGGGAGAGACTAGCTATCCTTGAATATGCTTGTATAGTCTAAGGGTTTCTATCTTGACAGTTTTAATGCCAGTTTAGTGAGCTAAGAAATGAACTAGAAACCAGAATGCCAGTTAGTGCTAAAACGGACTCATTGAGTGACCACAGAGCTTCCTTCTTGGCCAAGCTGAGAGAGGAGACTGTCATGAATAATATTAATATGAATGAAACAAAGCACTCTGATGATTTAGATGACAGCATAACAGCAGTAACTTTACTGTTTTTCCCGTTTGTGCCGTGTGTGTGTGTGTGTGTTGCCTAACAATCTTTTATACCAGGTGCGGTGGCTCACGCCTGCAATCCCAGCACTTTGGGAGGCTGAGGCGGGCGGATCACTTGAGGTCAGGAGTTCAGGACCAGCCTGGCCCAACATGATGAAATCCTGTCTCTACTAAAACTACAAAAATTACCCAGGTGTGGTGGCAGGCACCTGTAATCCCAGCTACTCGGGAGGCTGAGGCACGATAATTGCTTGAACTTGGGAGGAAGAGTTTGCAGTGAGCCAAGACTTTGTCACTGTACTCCAGCCTGGGTGACAGAGCGAGACTCTGTCTAAAAAAAAATTTTTTTTATGGCCCTATGTACCCATTCAGGTGATAAAATATAATAATTGAGGTCTAAGGATTCCCTAGAAAGAATCTTAGAGATCATGCATTGTATCTGTATCTTAATTTACTTTTTTTAATTTCTAAGATTATATTCAAACAATAAGTTGCTTCTTTGCCTTTTGACCGCCACCCAATTCCACTTTCCTCCCCAGAAATACCCAATGTTAATTAGTTATGTATTCTACTCCTTTTCTGTACAGATACACACAAATATATGCAACCGAGGCTGGGTGTGGTTGGCTCACACCTGAAATTTCAGTATTTTGGGAGGCTGAGAAGGAAAGATTACTTGAGCACAGGAGTCTGAGACCAGCCTGGGCAACATAGCAAGGCATAGTCTTTACAAGGAATTTGAAAAAAATTAGCCGGGCATGGTGGCACATGCCTATCGTCGCACCTACTCTGGAGGCTGAGGTGGGAGGACTTCGTGAGCCCAGGAGTTTGAAGCTGTAGTGAACTAAGATGGCACCACTGCACTCTAACCTGGGTGACAGAGCTATTAAAAAAAATTATATGTACACACACACACACACACACACACACACACACACACACACACAGATGCAACTGCAATGACTTATCTTTTTTTTTTTTTTTTTTGAGACGGAGTTTCACTCTAGCTCCCAGGCTGGAGATAGAGTGATTCTCCTGCCTCAGCCTCCTAAGTAGCTGGGATTATATGCGCTCATCACCATGCCCGGCTAATTCTGTATCTTTAGTAGAAATTGAGTTTTTTTTTTCTTTTTTTGAGACCCAGTCTCACGATATCCCCTAGGCTGGAGTGCAGTGGTGTGATCTCGGCTCACTACAACCTCCGCCTCCTGGATTCAAGCAATTCTCCTGCCTCAGCCTCCCAAGTAGCTGGGATTACAAGTGCCCACCACCACACCCGGCTAAGTTTTGTATTTTTGGTAGAGACGGGGTTTCACCATGTCGTTCAGGCTGGTCTCGAACTTTTGACCTCGTGATCTGCCCGCCTCCGCCTCCCAAAGTGTTGGGATTATAGGTGTGAGCCACCGTACCGAGCCAACTTATCTTTTAACATGGAATAACTCAGTATAGGTTTGTTTATTTTCTCCTTTAACACAATGTTTGGAGATCTCTTCTGTCTACATCTTACTCCCACCTCCTCATCTAGGTCAAGCTTCTTATTTTGCAGTAGTAGAAAACCACACATGAAGTCATACAATGACTTTCCTAAGTTGGGCAGCTACAAATAGAGACCAGAGACCAGCCAGTAGTTTCTTTCTAGTCAAACAAAAATCAATTATTTATTGAACAGAGTTTGTAGAAACTGGAAATCTCCAATTCAGCGACCAAAACCGCAATTACTTTTGCACCAACCTAATAATTTTTTAAAAAGTTGTTATAAAAAACAAAAAAATAAAAATAAAATAAAAAGTTGTTATTCAAACATAAATTCAACTGGTGCTCACTTTTGTTTTCACTTAAGTTAATCAGATGTTCATGTTACTATGAAGTTGACAAGTTAATTTGTAATGAATGGTGACCTAATATTTCATTGAGTAGTCAATCCCTCTTTTCACTAAAAGAAGCTGCTTCTCACTGTACTAAACCCCTGCCTTTCATTTTCCAAACTTTCAGGTGGCCAACTCCTTGTCATCTTCCCCTAGATCCTGAATGGGGTTTACTCTTTTATCTCCCTCGGGGGCCACTCCTCAACACTTAAAGAGCTTCCATCTCCACCTGTGTCTCCAAGACGGATCTCTTTCTTCTCTTGGGCCTAGGTCACCTCGGGATTCCCCGAGGATCCCCGGAAGAGGCTGCACAAGTCAGGATAGGAAGTCCAGGAAATGGGGAGGTCGCCGATGACCACGCCCCGGGACTCTGTTTGGGAACCCCCAAAATTTACTGAGGTGGAAAAATTGCGGGTCATTGTGGGGTTAGGGTGAGGGGACCCGGTCCCAGGGAAAAGAGTTTGTGCTCCCACCAGAGGGAACGCTGGACGTGAAGGGAGTGTGGCGCCCTTCCTTCCCGGGGAGTCCTGGGCGTTGCTCTCTCGCCCCAGTAGTGATGCAATCTCTCCGCGCCGGGGGCTGGATGCGTTTGACGCCATCTCCGGGCGCCCGGCTGGGGGGGCGCTGGGTGTGGGGCGGCTCCGGGGCCGGGGATGGCGGCGGCCGCGGTTGCGGCGGCTCCGGGACGAGCGGGTGGATCCCGGGAAGCGCTGTGAAATGGGCCGGTGAGTGTCCCTGGAAGTCGTGGCCGCCGGGGCCAGGGAGGCCCGGGCTTGGTGCTCCGGAGGAAGTGGCCCCCAGGAGCCCGTTGCTCCGCCGGGCCGGGGCCGATGAACCGCGGACAGAGGGAAGGGAAGAGGCCGCACCTAGACCCCTGCGCTCTTCTTTCTGCCCCGGCATGGAAGGCGGCTTCAGGCTCTGGCGCCCCGGTGGCTGTATTCCTGCGGGCCAAGGTGTCCCGAGTCTGTGGAGCGGGAATGGCCCCCAAACAAGGAAGCGTCGCTTGCAGGCCCTCGCCCCTACCCCTGCTCCTGCCCTCTTGGCGAAGGGTCGACCCTCTGCTCTCTAAACGCAGAATTTCCGATTTCGAGCCCTACCCTGATTGTAGCAAGGATTGTGGGACCACTGGGAGCCATAACCCTAGTCTCTGACAAGCTTCTCCTTTTTTGTCGGGTGCACCTCTCGCCCGCAGGGAATTGGGGTCTCCAGCTGGGTTCACCCCCTTGATTCCGACCCAAGCGTGTTGAGGAGCTTGGTTCCGGGCTCTGCTAGCAGCGTTGGCAACTCTCCTGTTAGCTCGGTTGGGGTCACAAGCTGCGTCTTGCCTTTGAGAGCCTCAGTGAGGTTCTGGAGAGGCCGAGGTTTCGGATTTTTAAGTGTGTTTTGCGTTGTGGGAACCTGGCGCACAACATTGGCTCTTTGTTGTCCTTTCTTCAGACCTTTTGCCTCTTTCGGTCCTTTACCTAGTCTGTGTTTGCTAACCTCTGGGTGACCTGAAGGCAGGTTTTCTCTAATGTTTTCGTTACAGAAAGCAAGGATCATTTTGGGATTGAAGATGTGACCCCACTTTGCACTGGAAATGAAGAAGAAAGCAAACTGCTTTTCAGTTACTAAAACTGCTGGTGGAGATCAGAGGCATCATTTATGCCACTGTGTAGTATGTGTGTGTGGAATTAGGAATTTGTCTTCCCACTGTGCTTTCCTATCCTATTACCTTTTTTTTTTTTTTTTTTTTTTTTTTTGAGACGGAGTTTCGCTCTTGTTACCCAGGCTGGAGTGCAATGGTGCGATCACGGCTCACCGCAACCTCCGCCTCCTGGGTTCAGGCAATTCTCCTGCCTCAGCCTCCTGAGTAGTTGGGATTACAGGCACGCGCCACCATGCCCAGCTAATTTTTTGTATTTTTAGTAGAGATGACGGGGTTTCACCATGTTGACCAGGATGGTCTCGATCTCTTGACCTCGTGATCCACCCGCCTTGGCCTGCCACAGTGCTGGGATTACAGGCTTGAGCCACCGCGCCCGGCCTATCCTATTAACCTTTTATGTACACCTGCATCTTGCCGATCATAAGAGAGAAATGTTGCGTTCAGTTTGGGGTGAGGCTTGCAGTGTTCTATAGGACTTAGACAGGATAGTCAATAGTTTCTCAGAGCGCTCATCTCTACTGCCTTCTCTGTTTTCAGAGGTTAAGGCTCCATTCTTTTGTGCTTCAAGTTTCTGGCAAATGTAGATTCAGATATTGATGGTTGAGTTGTAGTTTTGTTTAACTAGTGTTAGCCACCTAAGGATCAGGGCAGTATTTTCAGTTTCTTTCACACTTGATTTAGCTCTTGGTGTAAAGTTGTCACTCAGAATATTTTACACGAACATACACACACACACTCTCTTTTTTTTACCCTGAAAATCTCTTAATAAGTCTTCCCCTTGAGTGACTCCCCCTTGACCTCTTTTTCTGCCCCAGAAACATAAATAATTGTTCTTTTTCATCTAGTGCTGCCTTTTTCATTTAAATAACCTCCACATTTATGTTTTCACAGGCCCTGTATAAAGGGGAAATCCATGGAGTTGATTTTTCCTGCTTCCCATTGGTCATATGGGAACAGTATTAAATCTTACATTTTTATTTGTGCATTTAACTGAAATTTGGATTGGAAGCAAATTTAACCTTTGGGGAACAGGCATAGGTAGATATTAAGGAAACGCTGTTAAGAAAAACCAATGAAATTTGATGCATGGAAATGTTTTTCCAGGGATGTCTTCTTACAAGTGAGAGCATTAGAGATGTTTTTTTTTTCCTCTGTTCAACTGCCTGGGTACTCTGGGTAAATGTACCATTTACCTGTGGAGAAGAAGATGAAGCAAGGACATGCATACTCTAATGCCTTGGAATTACCTTTCATGATAACCCTGGGTAAAATCAGAGATCTGGCAGCTGCTTACTCCATTCCTGTTTCTATCTTCTAGGCTCCCGAGCCAGCCGGGAGGACACTTACTACAGCTGCTCAGAAGCACCACTGGAAGCTCAGGTAATACTGGCAATTTGAGTTCCTTGTTTCAGGAAAATATCTGGGATGTCACAGTGGAAAAACAGAACAGAATATAATATAGGAAGCTCTTTTCAGATCCAAAGAACTGGAACTTGGTTGGAAGAAATAGGCAGCAAAGTTCATGTGCACGGAAGTGTTCAGACCAAAAAGTTGCTTTATCACAATGGACAAAAGCATTTGTGAAAGGTGACAATAAGAGAAAGGGAAAAAGAGTGCTTTCTTATGAATTATACAGATATGGGGGAAAGACAGGCATGTTTAGAGGAATGGAACCAGAATTTTATAGAGTGGTGGCTGGAGCAGACCTGCAATGGAGAAGGAGCTATTGGCAAAAGAAAGCACAACGGAAAAAGAAAGGGAAGAATAGAGAAGGCAAATTAAAGGTGATCATTGAGAAGAAAAGAAGCCTTTTAAGACTAGGGAACTGGAAGTCTACATAAGGTCAGAAGAATATTGTTTTTCTTTTGTGGGAAGGAGAAACAAGTTGACAGCAAACTAGTTTACTCACTCTCGCTGTATAGAATCTGAGTTAAAGTGTAGTATTTCATGGGACAAAAATGTTTACCTGGTTAGGGAGCAAAGTTTACAAAAAAGTAAAAGACACAAGCAGACCTGAGGATTTGACACCTAGGTCCTTGAGATACTGATGATACAAGGCAAAGGTGGAAGAGAGTTTTTTTAGCCAGGCTTGGGATGGTAGTAGGTGAGATCATAACCCAAATTAGGCTACAGTAAGGAAGCAAGGATGAGGTCATATGTTCAGGAAAGAAGGTGGCACATTCATATTTGATACAAAAGGAGAAACTTAAAGAAAAGAGCCAGCAGGAGGCTGGGCATGATGTCTTATGCCTGTAGTCCCAGCACTTTGGGAGCCTGAGGCGGACGGACCACCCTAGGTCAGGAGTTCGAGTCTAGCCTAGCCAACATAGTAAAACCCCATCTCTACTAAAATTACAAAGTTAGCTGGGCGTGGTGGTGCGTGCCTGTAGTTCCATTCCAGTTACTCAGGAGGCTGAGGCAGGAGAATTGCTTGAACCCAGCTGGCAGAGGTTCTGGTGAGCTGAAGATTGCGCTGCTGCACTCCAGCCTGGGCGACAAGAGCAAAACTCCATCTTAAAAATAAAAGGAAAAAGAGCCAGCAGGAAAGACTTGGTGTTCAGAGCCCCCTTTGGGAAGAAGGCTGAAAAGACTCAAGATGCTCATGAGACACATGACTAACCGTGAAGCTGTTGGTCTCTCTGGGCTTGGGGAGCCCACAGGTTATTTGCGCATTGGTGAATAGTCATCCTTGTAGCTCTTGGTGCCTTGTGGTTTCCCCCATTGTTTCTCTCATGTTCCAGTCTGGATGAGTTGGGGGAAGTCTCCTTGTCTGCCCCCTTCTTTTACTTCCTTTTTTCTAACAATCCCTTTTGTTACATCTTTCTCCATGGCACAGTTCCTCCTATTTCCTTTGTCTTGGCTCATCCCTAGGTTACTTTTCTTTGCCTCTGATTTGTTCCCTAGCAGATGTGGGCACCCCAGCCAGAAGCAGAGAGGGGTACAGGGAAGCCACAGCGAAGCCCCTTCTGATGCCCCAGGGAGCAAGCCGACTCCTTCCAGGCTCCAGGAACACCACAAAGCAATATGAAACCTGTTCATGAGAGGAGTCAGGAATGCCTTCCACCAAAGAAACGAGACCTCCCCGTGACCAGCGAGAATATGGGGAGAACTACCAGCTGCTCCACTAACCACACACCCTCCAGTGATGCCTCTGATTGGTCCCGAGGGGTTGTGGTGGCCGGGCAGAGCCAGGCAGGAGCTAGAGTCAGCCTGGGGGGTGATGGAGCTGAGGCTATCACCGGTCTGACAGTGGACCAGTATGGCATGCTGTATAAGGTGGCTGTGCCACCTGCCACCTTCTCACCAACTGGCCTCCCATCTGTGGTGAATATGAGCCCCTTGCCCCCCACGTTTAATGTAGCGTCTTCACTGATTCAACATCCAGGCATCCACTATCCCCCAATCCACTATGCTCAGCTCCCATCCACTTCGCTGCAGTTCATTGGGTCTCCTTATAGCCTTCCCTATGCTGTGCCACCTAATTTCCTACCAAGTCCCCTCCTATCTCCTTCTGCCAACCTTGCCACCTCTCACCTTCCACACTTTGTGCCATATGCCTCACTTCTGGCAGAAGGAGCCACTCCTCCGCCGCAGGCTCCCTCCCCGGCCCACTCATTTAACAAAGCCCCGCCTGCCACCTCCCCACCTGGGCAATTGCCGCATCATTCAAGTACTCAGCCCCTGGACCTCGCTCCAGGCCGGATGCCCATTTATTATCAGATGTCCAGGTTACCTGCTGGGTATACTTTGCATGAAACCCCTCCAGCAGGTGCCAGCCCAGTTCTTACCCCTCAGGAGAGCCAGTCTGCTCTGGAAGCAGCTGCTGCAAATGGAGGACAGAGACAGCGAGAGCGAAATATCATAAGACGGGAAAGCGAAGCCCTTGACTCCCCCAACAGCAAGGGTGAAGGCCAGGGACTGGTGCCCGTGGTAGAATGTGTGGTGGATGGACAGTTGTTTTCAGGTTCTCAGACTCCACGGGTGGAGGTAGCGGCCCTGGCACACCGAGGGACCCCGGACACTGACCTCGAGGTCCAGCGGGTGGTTGGCGCTTTAGCTTCTCAGGACTATCGTGTGGTGGCAGCTCAGAGGAAGGAGGAACACAGCCCCCTCAACCTATCCCATCATACCCCCGACCATCAGGGTGAGGGACAGGGGTCAGCCAGGAACCCTGCAGAGCTGGCAGAGAAAAATCAGGTCCGTGGGTTCTACCCTCAGTCCCATCAGGAACCAGTAAAACATAGACCTTTACCCAAAGCAATGGTTGTAGCCAATGGCAACCTGGTGCCCACTGGAACTGACTCAGGCCTGCTGCCTGTGGGCTCGGAGATCCTGGTAGCATCAAGTCTGGACGTGCAGGCCAGAGCCACCTTCCCAGACAAGGAGCCAACACCGCCCCCCATTACCTCCTCCCACTTGCCTTCCCATTTCATGAAAGGCGCCATCATCCAGCTGGCTACGGGAGAGCTGAAGCGGGTGGAGGACCTCCAGACCCAGGATTTTGTGCGCAGTGCCGAAGTGAGCGGGGGGCTGAAGATCGACTCTAGCACGGTCGTGGACATTCAGGAGAGCCAATGGCCTGGATTTGTCATGCTGCATTTTGTGGTTGGTGAACAGCAGAGCAAAGTGAGCATCGAGGTGCCCCCTGAGCACCCCTTCTTTGTATATGGCCAGGGTTGGTCCTCCTGCAACCCTGGGCGGACGACACAGCTCTTCTCTCTGCCCTGCCATCGGCTACAGGTGGGAGATGTCTGCATCTCTATCAGTTTACAGAGCTTGAACAGTAACTCAGTTTCTCAGGCCAGCTGTGCTCCTCCAGGCCAGCTGGGTCCCCCCCGAGAAAGGCCTGAGAGGACGGTCTTGGGACCCAGAGAGCTATGTGACAGTGAGGGGAAGAGCCAGCTGGCAGGAGAGGGCTCCCATGTGGTAGAGCCTTCCCAGCCTGAGCCCGGTGCTCAGGCCTGCTGGCCAGCCCCAAGCTTCCAAAGATACAGCATGCAAGGGGAGGAGGCACGGGCCGCACTGCTCCGTCCCTCTTTCATTCCACAGGAGGTAAAGCTGTCCATTGAAGGGCGTTCCAATGCAGGAAAATGAAACTTTCCCAGACCAGGACTGTGGGCTTTACCCCAGAGCTGAGCCTCGCCGCCGTGAGCAGGCAGAGGATTTGCACACGCCAAGCAGGGAATGGCTTACTTGGCAGTGAGATTTGGGGGAAAGGGGAGGCATGAAGTCAGCCTCTCAAGGCAGGATCTGTTGCTCATTACTCCCATGGCGTCCTTTCAGGACAACCCCAGAGGGTGTTGTGATGGGGAGCAGCAGGCCTGGGGCAAGGAAGGAAGGGGGTGCACACAGGAGAAGAAACATTCCAAAATCAGGGCCTCCCTGTCCTTTCCTCCCCATCCCTAGCTCCTGCAAAGGAAAGTCCAGGCTTTGGGAGCAGATGGCAGAGGGAGGGAGTAAAGAAAGAGCCAAAAATGATGATCCACAGCTTATAGTAGCAGTTAAACTGTCAGAAGTTTTTTTCCTTTTTTGTGGTGGAAGGGCAGGAGGCCCCAAGGTTGGAAATAAGAGGGTTCCCACCCAGAACCCTTCTTGTGAGAGATGTGCACTTTAAAGGGTGATTTTGTTCCAGATGTCTATGGCTGGGTGTTTGGGGGAGGAGCACTCTCATCGACAGGACTCTGCTTGATCCTCTGCTTCATAGCCGTCCCCATCTCTCTTCACCATTCCGCCTACAAGGCTTCTAGCAGCATGGGGGCCCAGAGGAGGAGCCCCTGCAGGGTGCAGAGTGAAGTACTGCCTTGCCAGGGACTCAGTCAGGGGACTTTGGGAGAAAGACTTGATAGCCAGGCTGACTGGGTTCTAGGCAGGGCTTCTGGAATGGTAGCTCACCTAAGAAAGCTCCTCCAACTCAGTATGCCAGACCCACTTTGAAATCTCACAGAATCTCGTTGGTAATGGTGACTTTAGAAAGAGCTAGTAGACTCTTCCCCAGGCACCAACCCCCCACCTTTGTCTGTGTTGTGCCTAAGTGCCTGCGCCGCCCCCACCCTCCTGCTGCCCTGACCTCTGCATGGTGTCGTGACCTGGGCCTCGTTTGTAGCTGCACTGCCTTTCCTTGTCTGCAAAGTTGGTTTTGTCCACTCTGACCAAGACCTCTAGTTTTTGGTGGGTAAGGGGTCTTTTGGGTTTCCCCGTCAGCTATAATCTCTTACTTTTAAAATCTCAAAATCATGTCCCCTCCACTTCCACTGCCAAACAGCTAGGTGGAGAAACAGGAAGGGAACTGTGCCCTGGGCCAGGGCGAATTCGTGGCTGGGCAGTGCCCATCATGGCATTTTCACATGTCCCATATGTCCCCTCCTGTCTTATTCCACTGCTTCTCCCAGCATTCTGGCAGCTCCAAGCTATCCCCTTCCACCACTAGCTCTAAGGTTCTAGGATAGTCTTGATAACATTTCAGTACCTGAGGTAGATGTCATTTTGTGGCGGTATATTCCTCTGCAAAAAGTATTTTCAATCCTAGTTACATTTGCACCCCCTCCTGCTCCCTGCCAATGTCTTAATCCCACATCTTCTTCACAACTTTTAGCATCAGCTCAGACCGTGGGGTTCCATTGGGTATTGGGAATTAGGCTCCCCCACTAGCTTTCAGGTGGGTGAGTTTTTTGTTTGTTTTTTGGGGGTCTTTAGACTCTTGAAGGCAACTCAGGGTATTGTCCACCCAGCTCTCTGGTTAGACTTCTCCCAGGCTATGATCCTGGCATTTCCTTTATAAGGTATATTTGGATTGGCTGAGACCTGGCCTGGCATCAGGAGTCCAAACCTCTGAGGTCTGATCTCTGCTTTGTCAAGGACTTTCGGCAAGTCTCGTGACCTCTGGCTCTTTCACTTCCTCCCCACCTGCCAAATGGGGATAAATAATCTTACCTACCTCCTGGGGGGAGGGGAAGTTCTGAGAATGGAGTCATTCTTAGTGTTCAGGTGCTAAAGGTTGTTCTCCTGGGGGAACAGAGTGACTGAAACTGGCTTGTTTGCGACAAGCCCTACACTCCACTGATTCCTTGAAAGCAGCTGCCTGGTCAGTCAGCTTTTAGGGGTCCATCAAAGGAAGCTGCTGACCTGACTGTGAGTGCTTCAATATCTGGTTTATGTCAGAACCAGACACCAACTTTGTATTGCATTTGGGATCATATCTTTCCTCTTCTCTGTCCCCCATTCTCTGAATGCTGCTTTCTCTGACTTGTCTCCTACAGTGGGGGCCTGTGGGGTTGAGTCTTGTGGAATCCCTTCAAATGAGAGCCTTTGGAGAAGGCCTCATCTCTGGCTGTTTCATGAGCAACTTATTCCTAGAGTTCATTGTTTGCACAGGTTTCTCACAAACATCCTTCCTCATAGGAAGGCTCATCAACTGAATTTAGTAACATGTACACAGTAGATGCTCAAGAAATGACCGCAAGGATACAAGCTGAGCTTTCTCTTTATGGGGCAAACCTATGTCTAACTAGATATAGACTAATTAGTTTAAATCAAGTCACCCTCCACTTGGGCTAGTTGTGACTTTACAAACTGGTAACTTCCATTGAATTCTGGAAAGAGAAATTCTTGAGGACCCTGGCAAGTTGGGCCCTGACCTTTCTGTTGTTGCTCCTCTTCTGTCTCTTGCTGGTGAAGCAATACCAGCAGCTCCTGTAATACCACAATATCGTGCCATGCATATGTAACATATTAATACTTGATCTTGCTGAGCTGCAAAGATATCTTTCATAAAATATGGTTCCCAGGAAAAGAAGGTCTGTGCCCTAAACCTCAGTCAGAGCTATGACCTTCCCCTTGCAGTTTAGTCTTTTCCTCCAGGCATGAAAAGTAAAACTAACCTGTGGTGTGTCCATTCTTCCTTATAGGAATTTCCAGAGTTTGCAGGAGATGTGAGAGCAGTTTTTAGAGAATGAGCATTTTTTTTTTTTTTAAGACGGGGTTTCACCATGTTGGTCAGGCTGGTCTTGAACTCCCGACCTCAGGTGATCCGCCCGCCTTGGCCGCCAAAGTGTTTGGATTACAGGTGTGAGCCACCACGCCTGGCCTAGAGAGTGAGCATTTTAGTGGGAAGTTGTCAACTTTTTAGGAATGAGCAGTTGACAAGGGCCAGAGCCTGTCCCTTGTCAGCAGTAGGATGTTCCCAGAGCTTATTAATAGAAAGGAGAACTGCTGACTGGCACTGTAAGGGAATAGGGGAACCCAGTAATGGATGGATAATAAACCAAGTCTTGAATCATTCCTATTAAGATTAGTGTATATTAGGAAGAGAGGTGGCATGGGGGGAAGGGGCTCTGGGAGTTCAGAGCTGAGTGCTTGTACCTGAGGGGAGGGGCCCCAGCGGATCTGGGCTGATCCTTCTGCATTCTTGGTCCCAGTTGGTTATAACACCAAGGGCTTTGCTCTGCGCTGCTTTGCCACTGCTGCTGTCTGCTCACTGTCCTGTCTGCTGCCCTCTACAGCTCCTGTCCTTCCATGTCTTTGGCCATGTAGATTAAGTCCAGGTGTCTGTTTCATTCTTACCTGTGTTCTGCCATCTTATTTTATTGCAAAGTCATGTTGAATAGGGATGGTATGAAATGCTGCTGGTGGGCTGGTGAATCCAAAGGGATATGGCTTCAGTGCTGTTGGGAGCCCTTTGGCTCCAAATGTCTGACTATCTTGAGGGAGAAACAAGCAGGTTTCTGCTAGTGGGTGTCTTCTGTTGTATTAACGTCTTTCCTCTGTGGTATCTTGTATCCTGTTTTAAAAACAAAATGAAGGAACCACATTAGGGCCCATGCCAGCATCCCACTGTAGTTCCTCTAGCTCCAGTTAGGTGGATTCTGGAGTTTGGAGAGAGTTTAAAGTTTGGCTGAAATAGCCCCTCAAGTGGGGTTTAGTTTTCATTTTACCAGTGGGCATCATGGGCGATTTAGAGGGAAGTACAGGATGGTGGTGTGATTTGAACCTGCAGCAAGCAGGCATACTGGAGTTGAGTGATCCCTCTGGAGATGAAGCGTGGACATGGATTGACTGGGAAAAGGCCTGGGTTCATTGGAGTAAAGATAACCTGATTTATTGAATTGGTCATGGGAGGTTAGGTCACAGTCTTATTAAAAAAAGTAAATAGGACAGAGACTAAGTTTTAGGGAGACATCTTGGCCTCCTGGGCTAAGTGTACTAAACGACAGTGAAGCTACAGTACCTTCCAGTTGGGAAAAAGTGTACACTACAGTTGAAGAGCTGAACCTTATCAGGTTGGATGTTGATCAGGAACCTGTTTGCCCTTTGCTGGGAAGCCTTCACCCTCCAGCTTCTCTGGGGTAGGGAAGGTCTCCCACATTATGCAATAATAAAAGAAGCATCTGGGTCTTTGCAGCTGTCAGTTGCTCTTTCAACTCTAGGATCCATCTTTGGACCAGAAGCCTGGTCTGGGCCTAGGATGACACTGGCCCCAGAGATGCTAGAGTCGACTGCACTCTCTCCTTAGCTGCAGACTATGCACAGTGCCTGGGGCGGAAGGAGGAGAGGTGTCGCGGTTTGCCCTGCTGCCTCCCCAGCAGGAACAATAGTCATAAATGCACTTTTCACACTAAAGGTTTCTTTATTAGTTCTCCTGTTAAACCTAGATCCCTCCCTGGTAGATTGCAAACTCAAAAGTCTTTGTGATCCCAAAGCCATTCCACTGCAAATGCCCAGCAGTGAAGATGGCCTCAAATTGGGTTCCTGCCTGCAGTGTGTGTGGCAGCAGCCCATGTGCCTTTACCTATTGTCAAACTTGCAAGCATTTATTTGTCTTTATGACTGTCATGGGGACTGAGGTTTTTCAGAGAGAGAGAGAGAGAGAGAGAGAGAGAGAGAGAGAGCTGATGACACAGTGGTTTTACACCCACCCCCGGACAGGGAGTTTGCACGTAGTTGTGAGCTGTGAGTGGTTAGTGCATTGCTGGTATTGCCGAAGGCAGGGTTGATCCCTCACTTGCTTGATACTTGCAACTTGCATTCAAGAGAATCTAGATTGTGTTGGGGAAGGGACTGACTGTACTCATGGCTAACTTGAAGTATTAAAATAAGGCTGTCCCCTACAACCTTCTTAGTCACACAGGATCCCTGTAGCCAAAACAGTATATGATCCAGCTGCAGAGAGCAGACCGCTCTCAGCTTGCACAGCACCTTAGGTGAGGGAAGAATATATGGATAGGGAATGGGGTGGAGAAAGAAGGATGAGAATGTTGTCATCCGGGTGGCTTTAGGGTCCTAAGGAGTGGAGGAGGATGGCACTGGGGAGGTCTGGATGGATCTGGTAGGAGTTCCCTGTAGATAAATTACTGATCCCCCATCTACTATCCCCAGTATGTAATGGCTGAATAAATATGTAATCAACTGCATTGTATCTAAAGCCTTAGAACTAGTCAGGTGCTCCCTCCACCCAATACCATTTCTTACCCTCTAATCCTACCTGATCTTTAACAAAGCATTAATAATTCTAAGGATAATCTCTATTTTGTTGTGCTTTTTTGTAACTGTTTTAAATAAATCAATTTGTACTGTATATTTGTACTTTTGTGAGATCCTTTTTGCTGTTTTACCATTTTAAGTCTCTGTACTTGGCTACACACAGATTGTATTTTTATTGTTAATGCTCTTCTTATGGATACCTGCATTTAACTTGTGGACTATGTAAACACAATATCTATCAATATCTATATATCTATATATCTATCTATATAAACTACTAGCTTTTCCTTTTGGTGTTTGCGCCTTCTTCCTATCCCAGCCTTAGATGGTGGCCACGGGGTGGGGGATAGAAACCTTTGTGGGAGCAGTTGTACGGTGCCTATCCTTGTGCAGTGAGCACAAGGCAGACGGCATGAGCTTGTCCTGGCATGGTCTCTCCCCTTGGTTGGTGTGGATTTCAGAGACCTGGAAGTCTACCTGAAGACTTAGATTCTAGTGGACTCACAAGGATCTGTCATTACCTTCACTGCTGGCCTCCTCCCCAGTTCTTTACTCAGGAATACTGCCAATAATATGCTAGAATAAGTCAGCCCCAATCATAGCTACTGCCTAAAATTTAGAAAGCTTGCCGCTAGCAAGTGGCCTTTATGGAACACTTATTATGTGCTATAAGATATCCTCAGTGGGCTGGGCGCGGTGGCGCACGCCTGTAATCTCAGCACTTTGGGAGGCCGAGACGGGTAGATCACGAGGTCAAGAGATTGAGACCATCCTGGTCAACATGGTGAAATCCTGTCTCTACTAAAAATACAAAAATTAGCTGGGCATGGTGGCGCACGCCTGTAGTCCCAGCTACTCGGGAGGCTGAGGCAGGAGAATTGCTTGAACCCAGGAGATGGAGGTTGCGGTGAGCCGAGATCGTGCCATTGCACTCCAGCCTGGGTAACAAGAGCGAAACTCCGTCTCAAAAAAAAAAAAAAGATATCCTAAGTGCTTTATATATAGGAACAAGCATTTGTTGCTAGTATTATTTCCATTTTGTGGATGGGGAAGCAAAAACAGAGGTTAACTAACTTCCCCAAAGTTACACAGCTAGTAAGTGGCAGGGCACTTTTGAACCCAGAAATGCAACTCCTGAGTTTGTATTATTTCAGCTTCTTGTGAAGATTGAGATCATCCATGTAAAGTGCTCAGAATCATCTTTGGCACATAGTGAGGACTGTCATTTTGAAGCATCCAAGCAGGACTCCAGTATGGAGCTCTGAGAGAAAGGCATTTGGTTCAATTTTTTCTTTTTCTTTTTCATTTTTCTTTTGAGACAGTCTCTATTGCCCAGGCTGGAGTGCAGTGGTGTGATCTCTGCTCACTGCAACCTCTGCCCCCCAGGTTCAAGTGATTCTCCTGCCTCAGCTTTCCTAGTAGCTGGAACTACAGGCATCTGCTATCACGCCTGACTAATTTTTGGATTTTTAGTAGAGACGGGGTTTCACCATGTTGGCCAGGCTGGTCTTGAACTCCTGACCTAATGATCTGCCCACCGCAGCCTCCCAAAGTGCTAGGATTACAGACATGAGCCACCATGCCCAGCCTTTTTTTTTTTTTTTTATTTTTTTGAGACAGAGTCTTACTGTGTTGCCCAGGCTGGAGTACATTGGCACAATCTCAGCTCATTACAACCTCTGCCTCCTGGGCTCAAGTGATTCTCATCCTCAGCCTCCCAGGTAGCTGGAGTTGATTACAAGCACGCAAGTAGGTATTTTCTTTTAAATGTATTTTTCAAAACAAATATTTTAGCCTGCCTGGTAGAAGTAACCTTAGTTTATTAGCTGGGTGTGATGGCACACACCTATGGTCCCAGCTGCTTGGGAGGCTGAGGCAGGAGGATCACTTGGGCCCGGGAGTTAGAGGTTACGATGAACTATGACTGTGCCACTGTACTCCAGCTTGGGTGACAGAGTGATATCCTTTCTCAAAAAAACAAAGCCTAGGCTGGGCATCGTGGCTCATGCCTATATTCCCCTTACTTTGGGAGGCCAAGGCAGGCAGATCACCTAAGGTCAGGAGTTCCGAGACCAACCTGGCCAACATGGTGAAACCCTGTCTCTACTAAAAATTAGCCAGGTGTGGTGGTACACACCTGTAATCCCAGCTACTTGGGAGGCCGAGGCAGGAGAATTGCTTGAACCCCAGAGGCAGAGGTTGCAGTGAGCCGAGATTGTATTATTGCACTCCAGCCTGGGCATCGGAGTGAGATTTCGTCTCAAAAACAAAACAACAAAACAAAACCCGAGTTTGGTGGGGGTCAGTTGACACTGTTAAACAGCCTTGGACCTATGGAGGTCAGAGAGGAATCCAAGTTTCCCTGTTAAGATACTGGAAGAAGTCCATATTCCTGGCATAGTTATTTTTCTGGCTACAATTTAACTAGGGCACTTCCTTCTGGACCTCAAGATCTATAATTATCTAAACTGAACACAACCTTTGGTGCAGGCTAGGAAGGTTCTGTGCCTGTTCTGTACCATCACAGAAGCTTTTTAGAAATGACCTCAGCTCGTCTCCTCCATGGTTTGGCAGCCATACAACCTGCCAGAGTAATCATTTTGGCCCAGCCTTAACCACTATTGACCTGAACGTCCTTAACCACCTTAATTCTGGATTTTCTTCAGTGAGTTTATTATCCTACCTTGCCTCTGGTGAATAAATAAACAAATAAAATACAAACGAGTTTCTTGGTGCTGTGGACCTTCATATTGTAGCTATTTTTCTCTGAGCCTATTCCTAGATGCAGCTGACTACTGTCTGAGATAGAATTGTAAATGTTTGACAAACAATATTGCTGGGAAAAGTTGCACACCTAGTTGAAGGTATTGCATAGTCTTTAGGAAACACCAGTTATGAGGCAAGGCTTCTACTTCTAAGTTTAGAAAAGGTAAGCTAGGTTTAAGTAGCCCTTGGGACCATAGGTATCTTCATTATAGTTGTGGGAATAATCATCACAGTCAACATTGGTTCTTTCTTCAGTGTTGTGCTTATTCCTTGGCAACTTGTAAAGGCTCAAATAAGGGCCACTGCTTGGACAGCCTCAGCTGAGGAGCACCTTCCCTAAGAAAAGGGCAAGCCACCAGAAGCCACTGTCTGAAAACTTCCATCCAATGTCATTTGTTAGAATGACATTGAGAGAAAAGCAGTAAAGGGTCAGTAAAGATAAAATTAATTTATTTGACCTCACAACTTCATGGGCCACACAGGGGCCCCACAGTCCTAGAAGCAGGCCTGTGGCAGTGGGCTGGGGAGTCCAGTTCTCTGGAGTGCCTGCTCCCTTGTCCAGAGCTGCCTTGAGCCAGGTCCCTCCTGACCCCATCATCCTGCTCCCACATGCAAGGGCCACACAGGTCCACCTGCAACAAACCCGGGCCTGCCTCTGGCAACAAGGACAGGGCCTCGTGTGTGTGGGTGGGTGGGTAGGATGGCAGGCAAGAAGGCAGACAGGAAGGTGTCGTTCAGTGCAGAGAGCTGCTGTTCTGCTCTTCAAAGGCCATCTTGCCCAGAAGCTGGCTGTCCAACTCCACGCCACTTACAGGTAGCTGGAAGAAGTTCATTTCAGCTGCTAAGGCTGCCATGGCAGAAGGGTCCTGGCCAAACTGAGCTCGCAACATCATGTCCATTTTCTCCAGCCTCCTCTTGAGCCGCTTGGCCTCTCGCTCTCGGATGAGCCGGGCCTGCCGCTTTTCTGGTGTTTCGTTGGCTCGCTTCAGCCTCATGGCCTCCCGATCCCGCTGCAGCCGGCGTGCCCGCTGCTCATCTGTCTCCTGCATGCGCTGTAAGCGCTTGGCTTCACGGTCCCTCATGCGCCTCACCTCCCGCTCCTCAGGGGTCTCATTGTCCCGCCGGCTCTTCTTGGCTGTGCGCTCTCGTTCCAGCCGCTGCAGCCTTACTTCCAAAGGCTCATTCTGTCGACGAAGGGCCCACTTGCGTACACTGGGAGTCTGGGCTTCCAGTAGTTTACGGTAGGCAGCACAGTTGTTGCACACAAGCAGAATTCCAGCAGGATACACTGGAGGACTAAAGGCAATGTCCTTCCCCTCAGCACTGGAGGGGCCCTCGTTGTGGGCTGTGGGTAGGGATTCCATATTGAGTACTTCAGGAAGTTTCTCACTGGAAAGCAAACATTTTGGATGGTTAGTGTTTCCTTCTAGCAAGGGTCAGGACTCCAGCCCTGCCTTATTCTTTTCCTATGATGCCAGGGGCTCCACGCTCACCACAAGGGGTCACTTTGAATGCTTGACAGACCTCTTCTACTGCTCCATCCCTTCTTTTCGAGCAAAGGTGTCTATCAAGTCTTAAAGCCCACCTGGAGTTAATGACTGAGCCACCTGCCACAGCAGTGCACCAGAAATCAGACATACCCTTGGCATTTTCACTCAAGCCAGAATAATGGTTTTGGTAAGAGCTTTGCAGGGGCAATCCTGCTGTGGGAATGGAGGCTCCTGGAGGTGGAGACCTCCTTCAGGCAAGGTGCAGACCACCAACTCACCTCCTCCCCTCGCACTGCCTGCATGCAAAGGCAGACTGCACTGTACACTAGACAAACGGGACAAGGATACAATGTTCCAGTCTTCCTAGGACACAGTGGAGACTGCGTCCTCACGCCAGGGCTCTCTATACCCTACAACTTCTTTCTCCATGCTTTCTCATGAGTGTTCTTGGACTTGCCTGCATCTCTTTCTAGTTGAAGATATTCTGACAGGAAAAGAAATGGGAATTCATTTTCCTTTTGGGCTATGTAATAGAATAGGCATATTTCCTAGCCTTCTTACTTGTTCTTCCAGGTAGTCATGCATCAGTTGCCTTAGCATTACCTGTCTCTAGCCTTCGCTTTAACCTCAGAAAGCAGAACTCATACCCAGTAATTTACTCCCAGCACAATAGGGATAGTTGCCCAGCTGACCTGTTAAAAGTGGCATGGCTGGTGAACCGGGCTCCACACACAGCACAGTTAGATCGCTGGTCCTCCGAGTGGATTAAGAGGTGGCGACCCAATGACCCTGGGGAGCTAAGTGCCCGGCCACAGACAGGACACATGTAGCTCTTGGCGCTCACCACTGCTGCAGTGTGCTGTAAAACAGAGCCTTGATCTGTCAGTCTGGCACTTCCTCCAGGACAATCTGCACCCACTTAGAAACAACTTTCTGGTCGGGCACAGTGGCTCACACCTGTAATCCCAGCACTTTGGGAGGCCGAGGTGGGTGGATCATGAGGTGAGGAGTTCGAGACCAGTCTGACTAACATGGTGAAACGCTGTCCCTACTAAAAATACAAAAATTAGCCAGGTGTGGTGGCGCACACCTGTAATCCCAGCTACTCAGGAGGCTGAGGCAGGAGAATCACTTGCACCTAGAAGGTGGAGGTTGCAGTGAGCTGAGATTGTGTCATTGTACTCCATCCTGGGTGACAGAGTGAGAATTCATCTCAGAAAAAAAATCAACTTTCTGGGAAATGTTTCCTTTCATTAGTCTCAGAATAAGGAATTTACAAATATTCTGTTTAGCCCCTAGAAAAGTCAGTCTCTTGTATTAGTGGCTCTAGCCATCTAGACCACTGCTTAGATTTCATTAGCTTGAGTTCTGCCTATGTTCTGGGACATGTGACTGGCTTAAGAAACAGTGGGGCGCCAGAGCCCTCTTCAGAGCCTGAGAAGAATTCATGTCTCAGATAATTTCTCTGTCTCCCTGGCTCACACTGTGCAGGTATAAATACATGTTAAGGAAACAATGAAGGCCAAATCTAGAAGCTGGCATGGAATACTGGTATGTAACAGGTATTTATATCTTGCTTTCTCAATATTTTCAGACAGTCTTCTGAAGTAACACTTGTCCTCATGAACCAACTATCTTTATGGTACAGCCCAGGCTGCCATGTGTGCCGGTGCCTTGTCAACACCAGCCAGGAGGCACAGGTGCCCTGTGATTGGATCATGGTAAAAAGAACACACAAGTCTGGTATTCAGATACCCTGGTTTACACTAATTTTCACTGGTATTTCAGAAACATTTGTGTTAATTTTTTGTTTTTTGGTTTTTTTTTTAGACAGAGTCTCATTTTGTCACCCTGGCTGGAGTGCAGGGGCACAATCTCAGCTCACTGCAGCCTCTGCCTCCTGGGTTCAAGCCATTCTCCTACCTCAGCCTCCCAAGTAGCTGGCATTATAGGTACGCACCACCACACCCAGCGAATTTTTTTGTATTTTAGTAGAGACAGGGTTTCACCATGTTGGCCAGGATGGTCTCAAATTCCTAACCTCAAGTGATCCTCCCACCTTGGCCTCCCAAAGTGCTGGGATTACAGGTGTGAGCCACTGTGCCCATCCATGTTAACTAATTTTTTTTCTTTAACACAAAGCCCTTATTATTAGTAGACACTAGTTTCTATTTCACTATTTAAAATATGCATTAAATAATTTAGAAAAAGTCACTTAATTTTCACAGTGTGTCTGCCTGGAAACCCAGACATGTTTATCCAACATATCTCATTTATTTTCTAAAATGTTGGAAGCTTTGAGCAGAATCTTTTTTTTTTCTTTTTGAAACAGTCTCATTCTTGTCACCCTGGCTGAAATGTGATCGCTGCAACCTCGACCTCTTGGGCTCAAGCTATCCTCCCATCTCAGTCTTCCAAGTAACTGGTACCACAGGCACACACCACCACACCCAACTAATTTTTTTTTATTTTGGTCTTTTATTATTAAATATTTGGTAAGCATTTCTTCTGTTTCAAGAAAATTTTAAATGAGAATTAACAGTACATTAAACCTTTGTAAAGATCCCTCCACTACTCAACCAATGAACATTGGAAAAAGGCACAAGATCATTACATTTATTTTCTTTTATGTCTTTCTACAGTTCCACAAGCTGATGATTCATAGCATTTGCATATATATTTAACAACTGAATCCTGACGCTGTTTAGAAAACTGAACACAAATATCTTCAATATGCATAAGAGCAACAAAGTAATACAAGAAATATCAGTTTCTTGCTTTAAAATTACAATAAATCTAGACTTTTGACTTAACATAGCTAGAGCACCCTTCTTTGTGATAGAATCTGTGTTTTTCATATCTAGCTGACTGTTTTCTTTGACAGATATAAAAGACTCAAAAATATCTACACCAGTGAGTTCACTAAATGGGCTGCAACCAACTAATTTCTTAAAAAAATGTTTGTAGACCTGGGGTCTTGCTTGTTGCCCAGGCTGGTCTTAAACTCCTGGGCTTAAGCAATCCTCCCACCTCAGCCTCTCAGCTGGGATTCTGGGTGTGAGCCACCATGCCTGGCTTTGGGCCAAATCTTTTTTTTTTTTTTGAGACAGAGTATAACTCTGTTGCCCAGGCTAGAGTGCAATGACGTGATCTTGACTCACAGCAATGTCTGCCTACTGGGTTCAAGCAATTCTCCTGCCTCAGCCTCCCCAGCAGCTGGGACTATAGGTGCACGCCATCACACCCAGCTAATTTTTGTATTTTTGGTAGAAATGGGGTTTCACCATGTTGGCCAGGCTAGTCTTGAACTTCTGACTTCAGGTGATCCACCTGCCTCAGCCTCCCAAAGTGCTGGGATTACAGGTGTGAGCCACTGCACCCAGCCTCTTTAAGCCAAATCTTAATGGAAGCGACAACCCAAGACTCCTTCAGGAGTTAGAGAGAGATAAAGGCCAAAGCAAGATCTGGGCTACAAGCAAGCTGTCCACACTCATGTTTCAGAGCACACAGCTCCCCGATCCATACCTGGTACACGTGAGCAATCAGCTGCTCCCGGTTCCTGCAGTCTAGCTGGCACAGGGGACACTGGCAGAGTTCAAGCAAGGGGTCAGAATTCAAATTCTCTGTGACCTGTGATTCAACAAATAGGCAACTCATTAGGACTCTTCACTCGTCTCTTCCCTGCCCCAGCTTTTTAAACAGGGTACCCTGTTAAAAGGAACCCAGACTGATGGCACGTGTTATTCTTAGCTTCCCATTGTGGGCTGAAGAAAAAGTAATAGTTGAAAGGGAAGTATGGCTTTCAGCCATGAGGACACAGGATTGCTTCAGAGAGAGCCGATCTATTTTTTTCCCTGAAGATAAACTCTGCAGAGACAGGGGTAGCATTTTTCCTGTCACGTTCCCTGCAGGAATCCTCAGGAACAAAGTTAGTGAGAAGGTGGCACTCCAGGTGACACCTTGACTTAGATTTGCAAGCACGTTCAAGAGTCCGCCTTGGGAAGTCAGCTTTCCACTTCACTGAAGTGGCTCTTCTGTCTGGAAAGATGTGGGGAGCTGTAGGAAAGAGAGCTGTGCACGGGCGCAGTGATGCGTGTATAGAAAAGCATAGCTGAATGTGGTGAGAACTGAGAATCTGAGGTGTGGGTTCTGGTGCCACGAACAAAGAGGCCTCCTATGCAGGACCAAGAAACCATCAGAGGCAAGACTGTGTCACAGGGGTGAGCAACATCAGGACAGGCAGAAGGGTAGGGCATTGCTGGATGTCTGGACCCAGGGGCCATTGTCACTTGCCTCGTGCTCTACCACTTCGTTCCCACCAACAGGCTGTTCTGTATTTTCTAACTCTTTCTCCACTTTGACCACCCCTCCATCTTCCTCTGATGTGTGGGAAGAGACTTCATCTTGTGTGGTCTCCTCTTCATCACCCTCACTGTCACCTGGAACACACAAACTCGTCACTTGTTCTGATTTTTTGCATGAATACATCCTGAGCTGCTCTCCACCCTGGAGTTGGCAGTTATAATAGAAAACATTTTCAGATTTTCCGTTATATAGTCTATATAGTTTAGTTGGGTACATATTACGTCAAGTGGAAATCAGCTATAGCTGTCATTTATTATGCCATATACACATAAAGGGAAGAAGTGAGACAAAACTGCATCAGAAATGGTTACTGTGCCCTCTGTGTGATCATAAAAATAATCTTTCTGACTCACGGTTTTCAAATACCTCACACTTCAAATCACACCTCCCTGAGTACCTTACACTGAGCTCATTCCCACAGCATACTACCTCTGACTTACCGACACTTCCCACTGATTTCACCATGAGCCCCCTGTACAACTCCTCTGTGGCGTCACTATTCTAGTCTCCTCTGAACCCCACTAATCTCCTTTCCCAGCAAACCGCAAGGCACACTTACAGGAACATCAGCAAGTTTTTCTTCCCTCTTACCAGCAAAGGAAACAGTAGTAAATAAGTTTGAAATGATGTCACTTTATAGGGAAAGGGTTGTTCATTACAGTGGAAAAATTAGCACAGCAACAAACCTCAGGCACTTTGCAGTGGTATCCAACTCACTCTGTTCTTACTCTACATTGGAACACGGCATTCTAAGCTAAATAAGTCCACTGTTTCTGTTGATTCTTTGGATTATCTGATGGGTAACTGAATGTATTATGTGGAAGGAACAGGCCATTCTTTAGGATGAAATGTACTTTCTTGTGACTAAAGTATAAATTGAGTTTGTTTCAGTTTGAGGGGTAGGATGTAGCTATGGGGAGGTCTTCCTGTGGCTGGGGAATCTGCAAGGTTTATGTGAGCTGATTTTTCTTCTCTATTCCTTATAAAATAGAAAATGAAAAAGGACCAGAAAAACAAATAATAACGGTAGTTCTTTCTGAAAGGGAAAAAAAGTGCTAGTACCTTGATCTCGAGAGGTAGCCAAACCTAGGGAAGCTGTGACACTCCAGCCCTCTCCCAACCCCTGGACCCTGGACTTCTGGGCCTGATATGAGCAAGCAAGAAATACAGGGCTGAGTCTCAACAGGCTGTCTGCATGAGACTCACATTTCCTAGCTAACAGTGCTGCTTGCCTTCTCTACTACTCCTTGCATAATATCTAAATCTACCAGTATGTGAGCAACAGCCATTATATTTTACTTCTTCCTGGGCAAAACTGGTTAAATTCCCTTTCTTCATGAGAAGGTCTAAGCAAATCTGCTAGTAGTTACATGTGTCCTTATTAGGTTCTCCAGGCGACAGGTGGACTGGATTTGGGGCCTGGAAAGAGCTACGGTTTATGTGTCTTATTCCCCAGCCCAAAGCTCCTTTCATTTGAATCCATCTCAGTAATGAAGGATTGGCACAGATTAGATCATACCATGTTTTCTCACCAGCTTATTTGAAATATTTGTAAATTTAATATAAACTGATGTATCAAACATATATTTGTAATTTTGCAATAATCCAAATATATGTTGCTACTAGAAAAATAAAAAAAGGCCGGGCGCGGTGGCTCAAGCCTGTAATCCCAACACTTTGGGAGGCCAAGGTGGGCAGATCACGAGGTCAGGAGATCAAGACCATCCTGGTCAACATGGTGAAACCCCATCTCTACTAAAATATAAAAACTTAGCTGGGCGTGGTAGTACACACCTGTAGTCCCAGCTACTTGAGAGGCTGAGGCAGGTGAATCGCTTGAACCCAGGAGGCAGAGGTTGCAGTTGGCCGAGATTGTGCCACTGCACTCCAGCCTGGCAATAGAGCAAGACTCCATCTCAAAAAATTAAAATTAAAAATAAAAAAAAATACATGTGCTGTCTAGAGGGACAGTACATCTTTTCCCAAATGGAAACCTATTAGACTTTTGCAGATATTGTAATTCCAACCTACTACTCAAGAAAGTAGTGGCCTCCATAGGTTTTCCAGACATGTCTGGGTTCATTTTTCAGTGTCTGAGGAATTAATTGCTAAATTATTATTTGTTGTTGATATTGCTTTATTATTTGCTTGGGTGGAAACATGTTCCTAGAAGGTTGCAGAGTCCTCTCTCCCTGTTTTCACCCAACCCAGCCTCAAATATGGTGAAAAACTGGAAAAGTGATTCTGAATTCATCCTAATAATAACCGGTATCACGTGGATGAGGTGGCGAGAGTGCTGAAATCTTCCTAGGAATACACGTCTCAGGACGTGTTTGTTCAGGCAGGTCACAGGACAGACAGACAATCCATGAGGCTCAACTTGTAACAGCCACTGTCTTAACCACGGGATCTTCTTAGAGAATTGGTATGGGAAGACCTTGACATTAGCATTTTATACACTGCATAATCTCATTACTAAGCAAATCTTCTTGTGTAACATTAAAACTGGGCCTTCAAGCAAGATTTCATTAATGCCACCCTTATATTTTATTGATTACAAATACATAGATCCTAGGAGACAGGAATTTTTTTTCATTTGACCTAGCTCAGGGACTGCCTGAGCACTATTTATTCCTATATCTTTGTCTGTCAAAACCAACAAACCTATTTGTGTATGGCACTGTGCCAAGTACTGTAGTCCATAAATTTAAAAATATATACATATATATAGGCCGGGTGTGGTGGTTTATGCAACACTTTGGAAAGCCGAGGCGGGTGAATCACCTGAGGTCTGGAGTTCAAGACCAGCCTGACCAACATGGAGAAACCCCGTCTCTACTAATAATACAAAATTAGCCAGGCGTGGTGGCGCATGCCTGTAATCCCAGCTACTCGGGAGGCTGAGGCAGAAGAATCGCTTGAACCCGGGAGGCGGAGGTTGAGGTAAGCCGAGATCATGCCATTGCACTCCAGCCTGGGCAACAAGAGCAAAACTCCATCTCAAATAAAATTACATATATATAACCTGCCCTCTTTTTCTGGATAAACATGCCTATACACCTTAGACCACCTTTAGGGATGCTGAGGATCCACATATCTCCTTTTTCATGTCTTTCTCCCAACCCCCATGCACAATCCCCAGAGCACACACACTCTGATAATTCTTCTCCCATTGCCCTGAGTCATTACCAGAAGGTGCAGAACTCACTGCTACTGGAGTCCTGATCTCTTAGTTGTTGGATAGCTTGTCGCTGACTGCCAAGGTCTCCAGGAAAATCAGTTTTCATCATCGCCTGGCGGGCTTGCTCTTCTAGCCCAGCAAATACTTGATCCCCTGGTGGTCACAAGGAAAAATAGTCAGGCCACCAGCTGCTCAGCACATCCCCAGGCAAGCTGGTTGGAAGGTCAGATCATTCAAAGGTAGGAGACAGGTAGGCACCCTGTGGCGGGGTCACTCATCTCCAACTCAGCTTGCTGCCTCCAAGTTTCTGGGTGCAGCTGCTCTTCCTGGGAAGTAAGCCAGATGCTCTAGAAAGCATCACTTTCTTCTCTTAAATCCTCCTAGTCTTGACTTCTTTCAAAAGGTGACCAACTGCTACTTCACAGATTTCACTGCAGACTCTCAAATCCATTTACAACCTTCCATCAGGATTGGGAAGACGGGCAAGAAGGGGCAAAGTGATGGGATGAAGACAGGGCAATAAATCTGGGCCCTGTCTTAATGTACTAACATTATGTACCATAATGTACTAACATGGTCTTGACTCAGTGTCTATCTCTGACTATAAATAAGTACTTCAAATCATCCTTCAAAATAACAATCTCTCTCATCCCATCTTTTATCCACTCTCCTTCCAAAACATGCTCTGGAATTTCTTCCTTGACTTTCTTTCTAATGTTTATCATAATTAGCCATGAGAAAATTAACAACTGATTGAATAATAGACTAGAAGAAGAATAGATACGAACTCACTTCTGTAGAAGAACAAACTTCCTGAAACACACTGCTGATTTACAACAAATAATATTCATGTAGTCTTCTTGGTCCATTTTTTTTAAATGCAGTATCCCAAAGCCCTGGACCAATCCTTGATTTTCCATTTACTTCTCACGAACACTGCTTGGGATCCGTGTGGCTACTGAAGAGTTAATGTTTAAGTGCCCTTTTATTTCCAGGAGACCAGGCATAAGGAGAAGAGACAGTTGGGTTTCTTGAGGTTTCTATTATCTCAGTCAGAGTAGAAACTACAGTCCCCATTCAGCAGCCAGCAAGAGAGAATAATAAAAAGCCCCAGTGAAATGTCTGACAATAACCAGGCCCTTTCTTACCAAAGAGAGAAAGGAAAAGTACACAGGCTCAGGTTCTGAGCCAGGATACAGTGATGTGGGAGGAACCAAATGGTAAGCTGATCTGCACTCCTAGACCTTGGGCAGTGAAAGACTTGATGTGAAGTAGGCCTCATGTGATCCCTTTAGTCATTCGTTCAGCAAATATTTATTGAGCATCTATTATATGCCAACTACCAAACACTAATAATAGTTTGACACTTGCAAGTTCCAGGCTCTAAGTTAAGTGTTTTATAGTTATCACCTTACCTTAATTATCTGCAAAACTCTACGTGGTAGGTATTACTACCTATACTTTACTTAGGAGAAAACTAAGGTTAATGGTGGAACCAAGATCTGTCTAACTCTAATGCCCTTTTTCTTTTTGAGACAGGGTCTCAGTCTCTCCCCCACGCTAGAATGCAGTGATGTGATCATGGCTTACTCGTCTCAACCTCACAGGCTCAAGCAATCCTCCCACCTCAGCTTCCAGAGTAGCTGGGACTATAGGCATGCACCATCATGCCTGGCTAATATTTTTCTTTTCTGTATAGACAGGGTCTCACTGTGTTGCCCAGGCTGGTCTACAACTCCTGCTCTCAAGAGATCCCCCTACCTCGACCTCCTAAAGTGTTGGAATTACAGGCATGAGCCACTGCCACTGGCTTAATGTCTATATTCCTTCACCGCCTTCTAGTAGGGATGTAATTAGAAGGTTAGAAGCTTCTTCAGGTGGTTTTGCTGAACACAAACACTTATCTCTGTGTGAATATGGCTCTGATCCTAGTGTTAGTGTTTCCTTCATACCATGAGAAACTGATACATACAACTCAAACAGCAAAATTATGTTATCAGGGCTAGTGTATGACCAAAGGAAAAATGATGGTTCTGATACCACATCATGAGTTATCATGCCTGAATTACAGTAACTAACATTATGGCTATTATGACTCATACTGTGATTGGGAATAGAGGTGGTTCATGTTAAAAGTGTATTCCTAGCTACATATCCCTCAAGGAAAGGAAAAATAAGCTGTTTTAAGTCCATCTTCACAATATCCAAGATGACATATTGGATATAAATTAGTGGGTAGAGAAAGCAAAAAAAAAAAAAAAAAAATGAATTCAGTGTTAAGAGTGTTTCCTTGTCCCTTTTGTAGAAGTGAAATACTTAATTTCTCTGTGTTGGTTACACTGCAACAACAAGACCAGGGCCAACTGGTACTTTTTTTTTTTTTTTTTTTAAATGAGACAGACTTTCATGCTGGAGTGCAGTGGCTTGATCTCTGCTCACTGCAGCTTCCGCCTCCTGGGTTCAAGCAATTCTCCTACCTCAGCCTCCCGAGTAGCTGGGATTACAAGCACCCGCCACCATGCCCAGCTAATTTTTTTTAGTAGAGATGAAGTTTCACCATGTTGGCCTGGCTGGTCTTGAACTCCTGACCTCAGGTGATTTGCCCTCCTCAGTCTCCCAAAGTGCTGGGATTACAAGCGTGGGCTACTGTTTCTGGCCGAGGGTCTACTATGCGTTACTGAATTCTTTGGGGTAGGTGCATGTTTTCAGACCTAGGAGCCATGGGCAGACATAGCAGTAAGGAACAAGTTATGTACTAGCATATAATTAACAAGGGGCAGACCATTCTCATCAGTGACACTTCTGGTCTTCAAAGAAACTTAGCTAGAAACCAGCTAGGTTTAGAACATACTAAGAATAAACATTATATCTTCTTTCTTAGATTCACCAATGGATTAATAAAAAGACATCTAAAAGGATATGTCCCTTTCCAGATGAGTCAGTAATTCAGTTTTGTCTCCAACATGAGCTCAAGATTTATTTTTTTCTATTGATGTCTGAATATTTAGGCTTTCAAGGAACAGAGAGAAGTCTGTTCAATACAACTTGCCTATCTAGGACTCCTAGGCAATCTCACCTGGTGTAACCTGGATAAGTTAATTCTGTCATTCCTTTTTGGCAGTTTGGAAAGAAAAGCTGTGCTTATATTTTAGTCTATTCCTAACTTGGGAAAAAGGGTAAGGTGAACTTTATTCCTCAGGACTATTCCTATTTTAAGCATCACCATAAAGCAAAATATATAAAAACCATAAAAAAGAAGCTATTTTGCTTGGTGCGGTGGCTCATGCCTATAATCCCAGCACTTTGGGAGGCCAAGGTGGGCGGATCACCTGAGGTCAGGAGTTCAAGACCAGCCTGACCAACATGGTGAAAACCTGTCACTACTAAAAATACAAAAACTAGCTGGTCATGTTGGTGAATGCCTGTAATCCCAGCTACTGAGGAGGTTGAGGCAGGAGAAGTGCCTAAACCCAGGAGGCGGAGGCTGTAGTGAGTGAAGGTCACGCCACTGCACTCCAGCCTGGGCGACAGATCAAGACACTATCTCAAAAAAAAAAAAAAAAAAAAAAAAAAAAAAAGCTATTTTAGCAGACTTCCTAAGTTATGTGAATGATCTTCCAGTAGTTACTATTTAGCTAATCTCTAAATCAAATTGTCCAGAATTATCCTTTCATAAGGTAGTGAGACTTACTAAAAGCATGTCACATTAACTGCAGTATAATGTGATCCAAGGAGATACTAGTGATTAAGAAGTGTTACAGAACTGCCTATTTTTATAATGTTAGAATTATTCCATTCTTTCTTGAGATCTTTGGAGTAGGTTTTTAAAAATCCTCTGGTCCGGCCGGGCACGGTGGCTCACGCCTGTAATCCCAGCACTTTGGGAGGCTGAGGCGGGTAGATCATGAGGTCAAGAGATCGAGACCATCCTGGTCAACATGGTGAAACCCCGTCTCTACTAAAAATACAAAAAATCAGCTGGGCATGGTAGCGCGTGCCTGTAATCCCAGCTACTCAGGAGGCTGAGGCAGGAGAATTGCCTGAACCCAGGAGGCGGAGGTTGCGGTGAGCCGTGATCGCACCATTGCACTCCAGCCTGGGTAACAAGAGCGAAACTCCATCTCAAAAAAAAAAAAAAAAATTCCTCTGGTCCCTAGATATTAATGTAGGACAACCATCTTATTTAATATGGGTATTTGTCTATTAATAGCTGAGAATTGGCTACACTTCATAATAAAAACCAAGATACTCTCTCTCCTTTTTTGGGGGGATAAAAAATCAAGAAAATACTGTTCGTCTGTGATTTGGTTAAGGTTTTTCAGAGCAGATAAGAACAAGGCCATGCAAGCAAGTTTGGAGAACAGATGAGGAGACTGAGATGAAAATTATTAGAAAGACAAAAATTTTACAATTCTCTCTCAGGTCCTTGGTGCAGTGAAACAAATGTAATTTCAAGCTGACTACAATTAAGTAAAGCAGCTGAAACATTCTTTAAGAGAGCAAATGTCCAGGTCAGGAAAAATGAGCTAGTATTAGGAGTGAGGCACTTAGGATTCCATTTCTAGCTGACAGTCTTTGTAACCCAAGGTGCTGGAAACATAGCCATTTACTTCACAATGATGTTAACAGAATGAATAAAAACAAAGTAAGTTGTGCTTTTTTAAAAGAGAAAGGACTTCAAAGGCTTTTATTTCTCGTCTTTGTAAAGCTTTTAGTTGAAGTTGAAAGTTTTTTTTTTTTTTTGGAGACAGAGTTTCGCTCTTGTGGCCCAGGCTGGAGTGCAGTGGCACGATCTTGGCTCACCATAACCTCTGCCTCCCAGGTTCAAGCAATTCTGCTGCCTCAGCCTCCCGAGTAGCTGGGATTACAGGCATGTGCCACCACACCTGGCTAATTTTGTATTTTTAGTAGAGACGGAGTTTTTCCATGTTGGTCAGGCTGGTCTCGAACTCCAGACCTCAGGTGATCCACCCACCTTGGCCTCCCAAAGTGCTGGGATTACAGGCGTGAGCCACCACGCCCAGCTAAAGTTGTAAATTTTAAGTCACCTGTGTATTTTGCAATCTGAAAGCAAAAGTCTCTAAAGTAAAAGAATTCCTTTTCTTAGTGGTTTGGTTAGTTCAAACACACTAAATGAAAGTTTGCAAGGGACTGTATTTTCTTTTTTTTTTTTTTTTTTTGAGACGGAGTTTCGCTCTTGTTACCCAGGCTGGAGTGCAATGGCGCGATCACGGCTCACCGCAACCTCCGCCTCCTGGGTTCAGGCAATTCTCCTGCCTCAGCCTCCTGAGTAGCTGGGATTACAGGCACGTGCCACCATGCCCAGCTAATTTTTTGTAGTTTTAGTAGAGATGGGGTTTCACCATGTTGACCAGGATGGTCTCGATCTCTTGACCTCGTGATCCACCTGCCTCGGCCTCCCAAAGTGCTGGGATTACAGGCTTGAGCCACCGCGCCCGGCGGGACTGTATTTTCAACCACTCTACAAGTATTGACAGAAATGTGTACTCAGGGCTAGGCAAGGTAGCTCATGCCCGTAATCGCAGCACTTTGGGAGGCTGAGGTGGGTGATCACTTGAGGTCAAGAGTTTGAGCCCACCCTGGCCAACATGGTGAAACCCTATCTCTACTAAAAATACAAAAATTAGCCAGGCATGGTAGTGAGTGCAAGTAATCCCTGCTACTTGGGAGGCTGAGGCAGGAGAATTGCTTGAACCTGGGAGGTAGAGGTTGCAGTGAGCTGAGATCGTGCCACTGCACTTCAGCCTGGGTGACTGACCAAGACTTCGTCTGAAAAAAAAAAAAAAAAAAAATGTACTCAGAAGGGGTGAAATGGGGAAGGAGGTAGGGAGAATGTCTAAAATGGATTTCAGCCCATCAGCAGTTTCTCAGTAACTAATCACAATTTTGGGCTTTTATTCCAAAAGCTCTGTATCAAGTCTATTAATGAAGTGAAGTGGGCAAAATGCAAGAGTCTGTCCAGATTATTTCTGAGGAAAGGATCATGCCAGTGATTTAGACATATAAACAGTCCTGATGAAAACCCAGCAACTGCCAAAGCAGCTGCCCACTGGCTTCTAATATGAATCCATCAAACGTTGCTGGGTTACAGCAGTGAGTTTTTTTTTTTTTTTTTAATATATATTTTTTATGGCAGGGTTTTGCTTTGTTACCCTGGCTGGAGAGAGCAGTGGTGCATTTATAGCTTACTGCAGCCTTGGACTTCCAGACTCAAACAATCCTCCCACCTCAACCTCCTAAAATATTGGGATTACAGGCATGAGCACTGTGCCTGGCTAATTTTTAAATTTTTTTTGCAGAAATCAGATCCCACTATGTTGCCCAGGTTGGTCTCAAACTCCTGGCCTTGAGCAATTGTCCTGTTTCAGACTCCCAAAGTGCTGGGATTACAGGTGTGAGCCACCACGCCCAGCTGGAATTCTTAATACATCCCTTTAGGTGGCCTATTAGTTTCATGCCACACAATCTTCTTCCCAGAAGGCATATCTAATAAAGCTGAGCCATTACTCTGCTCAAGTGCTTTGATAGTTAAGCAAAGCTTAATGCAGACTTTCCTGCCTCCAAGACCTTGAGTCCATTTCATTTACTTTATTTATTTTTTGAGACCGAGTCTCGCTCTGTCACCCAGGCTGGAGTCCAGTGTCGTGATCTCAGCTCACTGCAACCTCTGCCTCCTGGGTTCAATCCTCCTGCCTCAGCCTCCCAAGTAGCTGGGATTACAGACATGTGCCACCATGCCTAGCTATTTTTTTTAATTTTAGTAGAGATGGGGTTTTGCCATGTTGGCCAGACTGGTCTTGAATTCCTGACCTCAAGTGATCTGCCCACCTCAGCCTCCCAAAGTGCTGGGATTACAGGTATGAGCCACCACACTAGGCCCCATTTCATTTACTTTAATAGACAAGCAGCATTCAATTCAATACATTTAGTTGGTTCAATTTCACTGCAAGGTGATAGAAGACTCACACGGTCAGAAAATGAAATTACCTATTTCTGCTAGCCACTATTGTCATAGGTGATGAAAAGATGACCTTTTGAAAAGGGTAGGGTCAGCTTTAGTCCCCAAATAACAAATAAATAAATAAAAAGAAGGTCCTCTGAAACTAGCAAATCTCAGCATCTTTTCTTTAGTCAAGCTTAGTGTATCACCTGAGAAGGCTTTGTGGCTCCCTAGCCAAATGCGTCACTGAAAACAGCCCCTCCCTAGGGGTCTGTTCTTTAGTTGTAGCTGAATATCTATGCTCACAGCCCCACAGTAAAGGCCCTTATAATGGCCACCTCCGAAGAGCCTGCAGAGTCCCATCTAGTCCACCTCAAAACAGTGTCCTTTGGCTTGACTCTGGTAACTGCATTTCTGCAACTGTGGATGTGTGATATCCGTACTTCCATGCCCTGTTTGTTCATCTGTTTTTCTTCATTTTTATTTTTTTTAGATGGAGTTTCACTCTGTCGCCCAGGCTGGAGTGCAGTGGTGACATCTTGGCTCACTGCAACCTCCGCTTCCCAGGCTCAAGTGATTCTCCTGCCTCAGCCTCTCGAGTAGCTGGAATTACAGGTTTGTGCCACCACGCCCAGCTAATTTTTATTTTTAGTAGAAACAGGGTTTCACCATGTTGGCCAGGGTGGTCTCAAACCCCTGACCTCAGGTGATCTGGCTTTGACTATGGGGCAGGGAGATGGAGCTGATAAAATACAAGCTATGTGGGCATAGCCATCGGCCACACAAGCCTGAAGTGACTCCCCGGACCTTATTACAATCATGCCATCACCCCAAGGGCTACTCTCCTCAAATCTAACCAGGCTCTTGGACAGGTGGCTTTTGTAGGTGAATACCCAACTCCTATAACTGCCTTGTTTGTGAACCTATCATCTCTACTAAGAGTACCTTTCCTGCCGTGCCTTCTTGGGGTCACACTTGTGTCTTTTATCAACCAGAGAGGAGAAACAATCCTAAACCCCTGTATTAGATGGCCTGTGCTAAAATACTTCATTTTTTTCTTTCTCTTTTTCTTTTCTTAGAGACAGGATTTCACTCCAACACCCAGGCTGGAGTGCAGTGGTGTGATCTCAGCTCACTGAAGCCTTGACCTTCTGAGTTCAAGCAATGCTCCCACCTCCGTCTCCCAAGTAGTTGGCACTACAGGTGTGTGCCACCACAGAGTTTTGCCTTGTTGCCTAGGCTGCACTCGAACTCCTAGGCTCAAGATATCCTGCACCGGCTTCCCAAAGCGTTAAGATTATAGGCATGAACCACTGCGCTCCGCCAAAGATACTTCATTTTATCTTTCTTGACGATCCTCACATGCAAGTCCACTACATTTTGCTGTTTTAGCAACAATTTCTTTTCTTTTCTTTTTTTTTTTTTTTTTTTTTTTTTTTTTGAGACGGAGTCTCACTCTGTCACCCAGGCTGGAGTGTAGTGGCAAAATTTTGGTTCACTGCAACCTCTGCCTCCCAGGTTCAAGCTATTCTTCTGCCTCAGCCTCCCGAGTAGCTGGGACTACAGATGCATGCCACCACGCCCAGCTAATTTTTGTATTTTTAGTAGAGATGGGGTTTCACCATGTTGGCCAGGATGGTCTTGATCTCTTGACCTCGTGTTCAGCCCACCTCAGCCTCCCAAAGTGCTGGGATTACAGGCGTGAGACACAGCACCCGGCCTTTAGCAGCAATTTCTAAATCCTCCCTTAACCACTCACCTGTACATTAAGTAGCCTTGCACGTCCCCCTGTTCCAGAATACACTCCTAGAAGCATCCAACTGGTTCCGTTTTATACAACTTTTCCAGGACTTAAATAGAAGAAAGAATTGTATATGGAGGTTTGCTATCATAATCTCAATAATGTATAAAATGTCAAAACTCTCTTAATTCCTCTGTCACACTATTCTGTCTTCTACTCTTATCTTTTTTATTTTTTTTTTAAATGGAGTCTCACTCTGTTGCCCAGGCTGGAGTACAATGGCATGATCTTGGTTCACTGCAACCTCTGCCTTTCAGGTTCAAGCAATTCTTCTACCTCAGCGTCTACCGTAGCTGGGATGACAGGCACACGCCACCATGCCGGGCTAATTTTTGTATTTTTATAGAGACGGGGTTCCACTATGTTGGTCAGGCTGGTCTTGAGCTCCTGACCTCAGGTGAGCCATCTGCCTTGGCCTCTCAAAGTGCTGGGATTACAGGCGTGAGCCACTGCACCTGGCCAATCTTCTACTCTTGAAATAACTCACTAAGATTCAGATAAAGTGCATAGTACCTGGGATATAGTTTTTTGTTTGTTTGAGACAGGGTCTCACTCTGTCACCCAGGCTGGAGTGCAGTGGCATAATCTTGGCTCACTGCAGACTTGACCTCCCAGGCTCCAGCCATCCTCCCACCTCAGCCTCCTGAGTAGCTGGAACTACATGTGTATGCCACCACATCTAGTATTTTTTTTTTTGTAGAAACGGGGTTTCACCATGTTGCCCAGGCTGGTCTTGAACCCTTGGGCTAACGATATCCTTCTGCACCGGCCTCCCAAAGTACTGGGATTACAGGAGTGAGCCACCACGTCCAGCCTATATGTTTTTAATAAATTTTAGTTCTCTTGTCAACTACTTGACTAATCTATCCTATCCAATGTAGGGTTTTGGCCAGCTGCAGTGGATCATGCCTATAATCCCAGCACTTTGGGAGGCTGAAGTGGGTAGACTGCTTGAGCTCAGGAGTTCAAGACAATCCTGGGCAACATGGTGAAACTCCATCTCTACAAAAAATACAAATATTTAGCTGGGCGCGGTGGCATGCATCTATAGTCCCAACCAATCAGGAGGCTAAGGTGGGACGATCACTTGAACCTGGGAGATAGAGGTTGTAGTCAGCTGAGATCATGCCACTTCACTCTAGCCTGGGCAACAGAGCAACACCCCATCTCAAAAAAAAAGATATTATGTGTATACACGCACACACACACACACACCCCCCTAGGTTTTATTATTATTATTTTTTTAATCTCTGAATTCTCTTCAAATGTTGCTGCACTTTACTCAATCAGTTCATAATAATAGGGAACTATTTGTCTTTTTTTTTTTTTTTTGATTGAACCTCACTCTTTTTGCCCAGGTTGGAGTACAGTGCCACGATCTCAGCTCACTGCTACCTCCACCTCCTGGGTTCAAGCAATTCTCCTGCCTCAGCCTCCCGAGTAGAGTAGCTGGGATTATAGGCACCCGCCACCATGCCCAGCTAATTTTTTTTGCGTTTTTAGTAGAGATAGGTTTTCGCCATGTTGGCCAGGCTGGTCTCGAACTCCTGACCTCAGATGATCTAGCCCACCTTGGCCTCCCGAAGTGCTGGGATTATAGGCATGAGCCACTGCGCCCAGCCACTATTTATTTGACTTTTTTTTTTTTTTGAGACGGAGTTTCACTCTTGTTACCCAGGCTGGAGTGCAATGGCGCGATCTCGGCTCACCGCAACCTCCGCCTCCCGGGTTCAGGCAATTCTCCTGCCTCAGCCTCCTGAGTCGCTGGGATTACAGGCACACGCCACCATGCCCAGCTAATTTTTTGTATTTTTAGTAGAGACGGGGTTTCACCATGTTGACCAGGATGGTCTTGATCTCTTGACCTCGTGATCCACCCGCCTCGGCCTCCCAAAGTGCTGGGATTACAGGCTTGAGCCACCGCGCCCAGCCTTATTTGACTTTTTAATGAACATTTGGATGGGAATGCTTACCTTCCCAGATCATAGGAAAATGGTTAATTTTTTCAAATCTGCAGAGATATTAATGTCAATTTAAGAAGGCACTTTTTGAACACCCTCCATGAGTTGTGCTAGAAGTAGAGAGGATATATAAGGAAATGCATATGGCACATATTCTCTGCCTTCTAGAAGTTTACCATGCAATTACTGAAATAAAATATGTGCTGGGCATGGTGGCTCATGCCTATAATCCGAGCATTTTGGAAAGCAGAGATGGGTGGATCACCTGAGGTCGCGAGTTCAAGACCAGCCTGGCCAACATGGTGAAACCCTGTCTCTACTAAAAATAAAAAAAAAAGAAAGGCCGAGCACAGTGGCTCACACCTGTAATCCCAGCACTTTGGGAAGCCGAGATAGGCGAATCACAAGGTCAGGAAATCGAGTCTATCCTGGCTAACACAGTGAAACCCTATCTCTACTAAAAAAGAAATAGCAAAAATTAGCCGGGCATTGTGGCACACACTTGTAGTCCCAGCTACCCGGAAGGCTGAGGCAAGAGAATTGCTTGAACCTGGGAGGTGGAGGCTGCAGTGAGCCAAGATGGCACCACTGCACTCTAGCCTGGGAGACAGAATGAGACTTCGTCTCAAAAAAAAAAAAAAAAAGCCCGAAAAAGAAAGAAAAATATGCATATGAAACTGCTGAAAACAATACAAGGTAACAGCATATACCTCGTCTTCTGGTTTCTAGCCTCTCCCTCTTGCGATCCATCCCACAAATTGCTTCATAGTACCAAAATGCTGCATTCTAAATGTCATTCCCCTCTCCCTGCTTAAAAACCTTCAGTAGTGGCCAGGCATGGTGGCTTATGCCTATAATCCCAACACTTTGGGAGGCTGAGGTGGGCGGATCACTTGAGGTCAGGACTTCAAGACCAGCCTGATCAACATGGAGAAATCCTGTCTCTGCTAAAAAAAAAATACAAAATTAGCCGGGTGTGGTGGTGCATGCCTGTAATCCCAGCTACTTGGGAGGCTGAAGCAGGAGAATCGCTTGAAACCAGTAGGCAGAGGTTGTGGTGAGCTGAGATTATGCCATTGCACTCCAGCCTGGGCAACAAGAGCAAAACTCTGTCTCAAAAAAAAAAAAAAACAACATACACACAAACCTTCAGTAGTTCCCTACAGACAACAGAATGAACTTTGAACTTGGCCTGGCAATCAGGCTTCCACAATGTAGAGTGAAACATCTCTAACTTCACATCTTACAACTTGTGAACAAATGAAACTTCTGCTTCATATCAAGTCTCCTCATCCTCTGAACATGTTTGTGTTCCCGCTTCTATCTTTGCTCATGTTAGTTTCCCTACCTGATTTTCCCTCTCCCTGTCTCTTGTTTTTTAATTTTTTTTTTTTTTTTCAAATCCACATTCTACCCTTTAAGGCCCAGCTCAAGCGCATGGTCTAGAGGCTTTTTCATTAAGCATTCCCCTTGCTACTTTAGTCCACAGAGCTCTCTTAACTTCCTTCCTCCTAACTTCTCTGGTACGTACAATCTGCAGCATCTGTTTGGCACTTAGCATATACTATCATTCATATTTATATATCTAAGGCTATATTACAGTCTTATAGATCTTATATTGTTTTACAGCCCTAACATCTAGCACATGGATCTGCACAGGGTGGTATCTTATAACTGTTTGTTAATGTGATATTAAAGATAAATCAAGTGTACATACCCCTAAGATCAGTTTTTAACACCTCCCCCAGCAACCAGACACACTTTAAATCCATCATATCCAACATCTTTAACTCTTTTTCTTTTTTCCTTTTTTTCTTCTGCTCAGCAAACTGTGTTTTAAATTTAAACTTCTTCATAAATCACTGTAAGCTAAGCCTCCCCCATAAATTCAGGTTACTCTTCCATTCCACCCCTCAGCATTCCCAGGTTCCACAAGACAAAGCCCAATACTCACAGTGAACTTTATTTGGATTTGTCTGTTTCCGACGGGACATGTTTCCCTGATCCAAGAGCTCTTGTCTTTCCCAGTTTCACGACTGGATATATTACTACCTCCTTGCAAGATGCTAACCTACAATAAGAAAGGTTATTGTTAGCACGTCATTTTTCCCCAGCAGTTATATAAAATGTAGAGATAAAATGTCTTTAAAAAACAGCTCTTGAGCATACAAAACTCACCAATTATAAACAATTGAACTAATAAAAGAAAGAAATGAATAAATCTCTAGCCTAATGTCAAGGTCCCAGAAAGTTTAAGAGGGGACTTCTTCAGAGGATTTAGAGAATTATACTCTAAATCCATCTTTGGAATCCAGAATACTGTTAAGTGATCACGATCGAGGTCACAGGATAAAAGAGGAAGCAAAATTCAGGCAACCAGGGTTAGAAGTATTGAGGGCTCAAGGAGATAACCCTCATGAATTGCAAAAGGAAGCAAAATGAAGCCAAAGAGGGTGGCAGCTCGAATGTCACATGCCCACTGGAAGTCAAGCCCTGCAATCTACACCAGTGGATTTTTTGTGACATTATCTTGCTCACAGATAGCAAAGGCATCACATCCCTGTGAGACAGAAAATGTCTCAAATAGCTACCTGTAAATGAGAACAGCATAGGAAATAAAGCCTCTATCTGGTGATAGAGGCTCAATGCTATGCACTGTGGATGACATGGCACTAAGCAAATCAAACTTCTAATGTTGAAAATGGGCTCTGACCAGAAGGGACAGATGCCATCCACATTGATGAGTACTAATACAACACCCCAGTATGGAATACCACCTGGCCCTCCTCACATGTTCCAGAGTGGTAGTCAAAGTTAATAATTTTAGAGACTCTTCTCAATCAAGCCTCTGTGTAGCAAAGAGATCACTGGGAGGAACAAAGAGAAAAGCTCCCCAAACGAAAAATGCTGCCAAGACATGCATCTGCTCCCCACCTCAAAGAGAAGGGGATACATAGGTAAGCCTGGAGGTTCCTGATTAACTACAGAAAGAGTGTCCCAGTCTTATGCATTGTTAGAGAGTCTGAGATAGATTAGTATTGATAGCTGTGACATTTTCTTAGAAAGATAGAGTGAATAAACACACATAGAATAAAAAGGGATTGGATTTCCTACCAAAGACAGGAATATGGATCTGGTCACTCTGTAAGTTTTCTTTCAGTTCCTTCCTGCCTTCTTGAGTTACACTCACACTGAATAAGCAAATATAAAATTATAGTTTATTGCCTTAAGAGGAATTATGGGAGACTACTGCTAGCTATACTTTGTACTCCTGTTAATGAAGACTCACCTCCTGTTATGCCAACTAACTCCTCTATGTAGCTAGAAGGACCTCAAACCTATAATCAGATCCTGCCTCCCCTTACCAAAAGAAGAAAGAAACCGCAAATGGCAAAGACAGGCCTCCACAGGAAGTGGCAAAGGAAGCAGCTTTCAGGCAGTCTTCTAGCATATCTGCATATCAAACAGTTCTTTTTCAGACCTTTAATTAAAAACAAAACAAAACAAAACTCTAAATGTATACAATAAAAATCGATTTTAACTAGAAGGCAATATACTAAGTACTGATTAATGCAGACTCTATTAATATTTTTTAAAATATGCTCAGGTGCGGTGGCTCATGCCTGTAATCCCAGCACTTTGGGAGGCCAAGGCAGGCAGATCACTTGAGGCCAGGAGTTTGGGACCAGCCTGGCCAATATGGTGAAACCCCGTCTCTACTAAAAGTATAAAAATTACTTTGGCGTGGTGGCACACACCTGTAAATCTCAGCTACTTGGGAAGCTGAGGCACGAGAATCGCTTGAACCTAGGGAGCGGATGTTGCAGTGAGCTGAGATTGAGCCACTACACTCCAGCCTGGGAGATAAAGCGAGACTACATCTCAAAAAATACATAAATAAAAACAAAAACTAAAATGTACTCCTTTAATGTGATAATATATTGAGACTAAAAATTATACTTCTCTATTATAGAAGAAAACATCAGAATCTTAATTTTTATATTTTCTCCCTTTGAGATCAGAAATTGAAGCTGTAAGATAAAGATAAAGTCTCTTCTGAAGGAAAGCCAGATAATTTGAATCAGGCAACATTTCAATACTAAAGCTGCAAGTCAGAAGACAGAGATGAGTATCTGCATATTTAAATCAGCAGTGGTCGCTGCATCTCATAATCCTCCTAGTGGTCAAATGGGGAACTGACCAGATGGTACCCAACGGGACTTCACACCTGAGTGATCAAGAGAAAAATAAGCAATTAACGTCCTCTCCCACACAACAAAATGAAAATAATAACAAAAACACCCACAAAAACAGGCCCGTAGGGTCATGGGCTGTTGAAAATAAATAAGTAAATACGTAAATGGCGCTGAAAGGACATTATTGGCCACAAAGCAAGATCTCGGAGGCCAGATAACTGTTCTATAGGCATTAAAGCTAATAAAACCCAGAGACACACAGCCCTAAAGGTCACTCATTCCGTTTTACTTTAGCACTGCCTCAATTTCCAAGCTCAAATCTGAAACCAAACCAAAAATGTAAATAGATAGCTGCCTGAACATGGGCTGGGAAGATGGGTAAACGGTGAGATTCGGGTCTAAAGGGATTCTATTGTAAAAAGAAGGCAGCACTGTCCGTCTTTAGAGCGAGGGTAAGAGTCCTTGGGAAGGTGCAACATCTCCCTTGAACACTGTCTCTGCTCTCCCACAGGTGTCAGGTTGCAGCTTCTAGGGCACACCACAGACTTTAGCAAGAAAAAAACGGACGAAATCCCAGCTTGAAGAAAAGAGAGAGCGTTCCCACCTCCAGCGCTGGTGCAGTTCCCACGGAGCAAAGCAAACTCGTCTGAATCCAAGTGATCTGTATCTGCCAAAAAAGAGAGGACAAGAAAGCTGGTCACCTAGCCGCCTGGCTGTTCACCTGTCCCCTGGGGTTGGGTCTGGGGCGTGTGTCTAATCAGCCGAGATGGTCCCTCTTCTTCAAGCACGAGTCCAGGTAAATTCCCAGGAATTACCAGACAAGAGCCGGAGGTCTTCCGAGGCGGCTCAGACAAACCTTTAGACAACACAATCTTCTCAGAAATCTAAATTTAGAAGCTTTTCTGCGAGACCCAGACGCTGGGACCGATACCCCCAGTCTGCACGCCCACGCCCATCCTCCCCTCCCCCAGCTCCACCCAAGGCTGTCAGACGCCGGGGCCGTCCCCGCCAGAGCCCGAAGAGGCGGGGTGCCCGCGGCCCGCGCAAACGCCCCCCCGGCCCGCGCCCGAGAGCGCCAAGGGGCAGCAGGAGGAGCGGCCGGGGAGGGATCGGGGGTGGGCGCGGGGAGGGCGAGCCCGGGCTGCCCCCAGGCCGGAGCTGGCCCCCGGCCCTCCTCAGCGCAGACAGACAAAAGGACAGAGAGCCGGCGGCCGCGAGGGGGCGAGGAGCCCGTATCCCTAGCCCGGCCCCGGAGGGAGGGCTCGGGGGTCTTTTTACCCGGCGCCTAGGCGCAGCGCTGCGCTCCGGGTCCCTGGGCCCCGCCTCCGGACAGACGGACCGCCGGACAATGGGCCCGGGACCGCAGCTCAGGCCAGCCGGACCAGGGCACTCCGGGACTGGGCCCGACCGGCGGAAGGGGCTCCGAGCCGAGCCGATGGCGGGGAGCCGAGGGACGGCGCTGCAGACTGACAAAGCCAACCGCAGACAGACAGACGGAGGGGGAAAAGATGGCGACGCGGGCGGCGGGAGCGCGCGGCTCGCGCACCCGCAGCCAGTGGAGCGCGTGCACGAGCCTCCCTCTCCCCCTCCCCCAAGCCAGCTCGGTCCCCCTCCCCGCGGCCCGGCGCGCGCCCGGAGCTGTGGGCGGGGCCTGAGGAGACGGGCTCAGGGGAGCGCCCAATCCCGGGCGCTCGAGAGGGGATCGCTCGCGTCCCAGGGCTCCGGGACCCCCCGGCCTCGCTCGCTCCCAGGTCTTTCTCTGGCTGTCTCAGCCGCTCAGCTCCCCAAACCTTCCTGGACGTGTAAACGCCACACCACCCAGCCCGGATCCTGGTTTCCTACCCCACCATCGAGTTCAGCCACAAAACCCACATCCCCCAACCACAGCTCTGCCGCAGTCTCCCCCTCTCCTTAGCCCGACCTTAGCCCGGATCCCCACCACCTTCACAAACCCTCTTCGCCTCATCCCCTACGCGCCGCGGTGGCTTCGGCTCCAGAGGCTTTGAATGTGACCACTGGCCTTGGTGGGTGGAGCCAAGTTCAGCTGTCAGAACCACAGAGCAGGGAAATCTTGAGATTTCTTTTGAGCATTTAATTTTCTGACATGATTTTCAACTGATAAAATAACATTCGCTGCCAACCCAGAGGCAGGGAAACTTGTGGCACTGTTGCCACGTGAGGCGTGTTTGGGGGAAATCGAGAGCGGTTGGACTTTTTTTCTTTTTCAGACAGAGTCTCGCTCTGTCACCCAGGCTGGAGTGCAATGGCGTGATCTCGGCTCACTGCAACTTCCGCCTCTCGGGTTCAAGCGATTCTCCTACCTCAGCCTCCTGAGTAGCTGGGACTACAGGCGTGCGCCACCATGCCCAGCTAATTTTTGGATTTTTAGTATAGATGGGATTTCACCATGTTGGCCAGAAGGTCCCGACTCCTGACCTCAGGTGATCCGCCCGCCTCAGCCTCTCAAAGTGTTCGGATTACAGGCGTGAGCCACTGTGCCCGGCCTGGTTGGACGCACTTCTAGTCAAACACCTCCTCCTGCTCTCCTAGTTCCCCTTGCCTTCTTTTCTTCCTCTCTGTCTTCTAGAACGCCCAAGCCTGCCCTGACATGCTTACCTGGAGAAGTATGGAATGCAGAGGAAAGAAGATGAGATCTGGTATTAGAAGATCCTGCTTTGAGACCCAGTTCTGCCACCAACCAGCCTGTTGACTTTGGGCAAGTCACTTCCCTGTTCTGAGCCTCTGCTTCCTAAGATGTCAAATGGATAATGATGCAATAATTTCTAGCCTCTACTCTCAGTGGGTTGTTGTGCCAGTTAAGTAAAACAAATGGCTAAAAGCGTCATACAATTGTTTCTTGTGATTACTGGCCCCACAGACGATGCTGACATTTGCTGATGAAGTGACAAGTCCGGGTATTTGCATAGGACATTCTTGCAAATTGTCTTTCCCCCAAATATTTTGTGAGATGATCTCATTATCTGCATCTTGTGTTCAGCTTAATAGAATGGCTACATTGAGGAATCTTGGTCCTTCACAATTCTGTGATAAATAGCTCATTCATCATTCACTCACTCATTTCTTTATTGTGATTGGGATACTTAAATAGTAATTAACATTGTTTCACTTCAGTCAAGGAAACATTTTAATTTCATTTAAAAACTTAGTTTCTAAGTAGACAGAAAATGGAATATCATCCAACCAGCAAGTTTTTATAGTATTTTGTATAGGAATGCAACTAGAATACACACTTTTATATTTAACAGTAATTGTTTATCAGTTTAGACTGAGGGATACAAGTATGGCTTTATTATGTCACTTTAAAGTCGACTTAGTTGACATTTTCAACAGAAAACTAGCTAACACTCCAGCCTAGAAGACAGGGAGACAATGTCTCAAAACAAACAAACAAACACCTGACCTGATAATGCCAGCCTAGGCAGCATGGTGAAACCCCATCTCTACAAAAAAAAAAAAAAATACAATAAATTAACCAGGTATGGAGCATGTGCCTGTAGTCCCAGCTACTCAGGAGGCTGATGTGGGAGGATCACCTGAGCCCAAGATCATGGCTGCAGTGAGTTGTGATTGCACCAGTGCACTCCAGCCTGCAGGACAGAGTGAGACCCTGTCTTAGGCAAAACAAAACAAAAAACAAAACAAACAAACAAAAAAAACCTGATAATGATTTTTGACCTGCACCTGCTTCACAGAAATGTCAGCCTCAAATTGAGGTAATGTGCTTATAAGTGCTTTGTAAACTGTAAAATGCCACAAAGATAAGTTTAATATTCGTATATAGCCCTAATCAGTGATATTGATAAGTTCTCTGAAAGCTTGCTTCATAGGTTCTCTACAAAGTGATCTTGATTTTTCTTTTCCCTAGGCTTTGAGATGTCCAGAGCAGTTCCTATTTCATTGTATATTCTTTTATCATTGTTTTTTTCTTTCCTTTTTCCTTCATTGTATATTCTTTAGTCTAAAAGCTGTCTGAGATGTTCCTCTTTCTAAATGTTAGTAGTGAAAACAAGGGAAATAACTCTACGCCCATCATCTTTCCCTTCTTTCTCTTACACAACGTGTAGTAGTTTTGTTGCAGAAGTCAGCAAACTTTTTTTTGCTTTTTTTTTTTTTTTTTCAGACAGCGTCTTACTCTATCACCCAGGTTGGAGCGCAGTGGCTCGATCTCAGCTCACAGCAACCTCCTCTGCCTCCCAGGTTCAAGCCTCAGCCTTCTGAGTAGCTGGGATTACAGTGCACCACCACGCCTGGCTAATTTTTGCATTTTTAATAGAGATAGGGTTTCGCCATGTTGGCCAGGTTGGTCTCGAGCTTTTGACCTCAAGTGATCTCCCTGCCTTGCCTCCCAAAGTGCTGGGATTACAGGTGAGCAAACTTGTTCTGTAAAGGACCAGATAGTAAATATTTTGGGATCTGTGGACAATATAAAGTCACTGTCACACAGTCATGCTCCTCCTCTTCCTGCTTTTTATCCTTTTAATAATATAAAACCCATTTTCAACTGGAGACGGTATATAAAAAAACAGGTTGGCTGATTAAGGCTTGCAGGCCTATTACAGATTTTTATTTTATTGGGCTCTAACACTGCATCCAGTTAGTTACAGCTGCTAGTTATAGTCATTTACACACCACAAAAAAAGAGTACCTGGTTAGTTACCAAAGAAGCGGTATATGTGAACATTTGTCCCAACAGCAAAACAGGATTTTCAAGGGAAACAGTGTGAGTTTGTTTCTGAGTATGGTTAGCTTCTGAATGAAATCGGTCTGTTCAGCCAGGAACAGAGATACTGTTGTGTTTTTTAATTCCCTCAAACATACTGTTTTGAATAACTGGCTGGTTGGGGTACAATTAACAGTTGATATATTACAGGATCTAAATAGACAGGTAGGTTTTGTTAAAGCCCAGGACACCAGGTGATGATTGCTGAATCTTCACAACTCCTGAATAAAATGCAATTTTTCTAAAGCAGAAAATGAATCATTTTGGCCAGGTGCCATCATGCTCTGCTAATTTTTATATTTTAGTAGAGATGGGGTTCACCGTGTTGGTCAGGCTGGTCTTGAACTCCTGATCTGGCTGGTCTTGAACTCAGGTGATCCGCCTGCCTCAGCCTCCCAAAGTGCTAGGATTACAGGCATAAGCCACTGCACCCGGTAATTATTGTATTTTTTATAGAGACAGGGTTTCACCACATTGGCTAGGCTGGTTTCAAACTCCTGACCTCAAGTAATCCACGTGTATTGGCCTCCCAAAGTGCTGGGATTACAGGTGTGAGCCACTGCACACAGCCTTTTAGCTTATCTTTACTGAACTTCATGGTTTGAACAAGATTGCAATAATGTCAATAATCCCCCAAATTAAGACCTACTGTGCTACTGAGGGCATGGGGAAATAGAAACTCTTCTACATTGATTGTAGTGGTGAAAATTAATACCTCCTCTCTGAAGCGTGATTTGGCAATATCTATTAAAACAGAAAATGTAAAATAAAACACTTCGATCTAGAATTCTGCCTCTGGGAATTTACCCAGTAAGTACAATTCATGCAGGCAAATACCTAGTCATCTCAGCATTGTTCGTAGAGACAAAATATTGGAAATAACATAAATGCTGAAAAATTGCCAGGTGTGGTGGCTCATGCCTATA